GGTGCTGGGCCTCCGTCTCTCTCAGAGAAGACCCTACCCCACCCCCACACCCCGCCAGATCTCCTGGGACCCACTAAAGGCAGACTTCCTTAGGAATCCTCGGGGGAGCCCTCCCCAGGGAAGAGCTAATTGGCTTCTGTAAACCTAAACGCCACAGGAAGAAGAGCGGAAGTTGGAGATGGGGATAGGCCTAGGTAGGTCCTGGGGGGGAAATCGTCCCGAAGGTAACAGGGCAGGGGTGGTAGAGGATCAGAGTCCCCTGACCCCTGACTGTGGCCTGGGAAGGTGGGCAATGGAGGCACGTTCCAGAGAGCAAGCAAGGTCCCAGCAAAGCTCCAGAGGTGTCCTCTGAGGTGAACCCTGCACCCAGGGCTCCTTGTGCATATCCAGCCACCTTAGAGGACAGCCTATGCTAGCAAGTGAGCTCCTATGCAGGTCTCACACCACAGACCTGACTCCTGGAGGGCTGGAGACTCCAGCCTTTGGGACCCCAGTCTTGGCAACACAAGGAAGAAGCTGAATGTCTGGACCCTGCCGGTCTCCTCCTTCCTCCAGCCCCTCTCTCTCTCACCACATCTCTCTACACCCCTCTTTCAGCATTCTTGGGGGGAGAGGTGTCACAACAAAAAGTCCCATGTGCTAAACACTGGTGGCTCATGCCTGTAATCCTAGCTCTCAGGAGACCGAGAATGGGGAGATTTAGAACAGGTCTAGGCCAGCCTGAGCAAAATTGTCCTCAAGACTCTGTCTCCATGGAAGGAAGCTGGAGATGGCACACATCTGTTATCCCAGAAGAAACCAACAGTAGGCAGATCGAAGCCCATGCTTATGCCCAGGAGGGGAGTGAAATCCTATCCTAAAATCGACCAGTGATAAAAGGGCTGGAGGTGTGGTTCAGTATCAGACCAGCCTAGCAAACTCAGTAAAGCCCTGAATTGAAACTCCAACCCCAACACCACTCCAAAAAAACCCACAAATTAAAATAGTCCCATATCATTTGTTGGCTGCCAGTTTGTGGTTCATCTTTTCACTGGAATTTTTACTGCTTTGGATTGAAACACTGGACAAACCTTGAACTTGATCTCTCAGTGAGAGATATCAGGCCCAGGCCTCCATTCCATACATGCCAAGTACCCAGAAGACTTGAATCCACAGACTGGAAGGAGCCAGGGGTTACCAGGGAGCAGAAGGCAGGATTACTCTGTATTACAGTGGTTCTAATGGGGGGCTGGAGGGGTATAAACAAAGAATGCTTTAGAGGAGACAAAAGCTATGGTTGCCAGTGTTGTGCATGAACCAAATGCCACTGATCAGCTTAGGGTTCCTGTAGGAGAGCAGGCTCAGCAAGCCTGTCTTCCTCCCAGGGACCTAATTTATCTACAGGATGTCAGGGACAGAATCTGGGGCCTACCAGTTCTCAGAAGGCAGTCCTTTTTCCAGGAGTCCCTAAAAATGACTCATTGTAGCTTTTGTTTTTCCTCCCTTACAATGTCTTCCTTACCTTGTACCCCACTGTCTCCAAACCTCTGGCAGGGCAAACAGGAAGTAGGGAGTCAGAGACTGAGGACAGAGAGACAGAGTGACTGAGAACAGGAAATCAGCGTGGTGTTTGTTTTCCTCTGTCTGCTGAGATTACAGAGATGCAGAGGAGATGACAGGCCTGGTCTATACAAGGAGCCCCCTCAGGGCCTGTTTATTTACATGTTTTGTGGGAGTCTCTGGCTGAGATGCACTGTTGTGCTATTTGCTGGCTGGCTCTGTCCTGTGCCCTGTGGGGTACCCACAGGGATCAAGCAGGCCTCTGACGGGTGCCCTGTGATCATTTCAGACCCTGGGGCTCCTGCAGCATCAGCCCAGGCAGGTCCCCCATGGGGCTTCTTGCTCGCACGCCATCAGTGTGTGTCACCTCTTGCTCTCCCGGAACCTCTTCTTTCTATGCCAGTTCCACCCTAAAGAATGTGCCAGAACACAGGCTTCTCTCCTCCCATTCCCCTTCACTCTCCTCTTTTATCTTCTCCTTTCCATTCCCTTCTCTTCCCTTCCATTTCCTTTTTCTATGTTGAGGACCAAACTCAGGGCTTTGCCCATGCGAAGCGAATGCTCTAGCACTAAGTGCAGTGCCCCAGCCTTGCTGGTCTTTCTTAGCATGGCCTGTAGTCATGGCTGGGAAGCCCCCCTAGTCCTCTCATGAAGAATGTAGAGAAAATGCTGGGGTCTACAGGATGAGAAATGGTAGTAGAGTGAGCTTCCTGACTCTGACAGTTCTTCCTACTCATTCTACTTTTTATCTCCTAAAGGAAAATATTCACCTTTGAGTGGAACAGTTTGTTTTTCGTACTGCCAGGCTGGTTTAATTTCTGCATCAGCCCCTGTGATTCACACAGCTTGCGGTGGGTAAAGCGGACTGCAGCTCTGAGGGGCAGGGCAGAGGCGAGGGGAGCTCCTTAGGAAACAGAACTGAGGGGCCCATTGCCCTGTTGTCTGCTCTGAGGGCTGAAGGTGGCAGCCTGGCTCCATATTCCAAACTCCGGGATGGAGGCACCAGGCTCAAGACCAGGAATGACCCTGGCTTCTCCAGCTCCTGAGTAAGAGTCTATGGAAACCTCTCCACACTGAGAATACAGGGAGTGGGGGCTGCATGCACAGCTTCATGGTAGAGCGCCTGAGTTCCAGCCCCAGTACCACCCAAGAAAGGAACACAGCGGAGGGCTGCAAGGCAGTCAGGTAATCAGGCGTTGGTTTGTTTGCTTTGAGATGGGGTCCCACTACATAGTCTAAACTGGCTTCAAACTCAGGATCCTCCTGGGTCAGCCTTTCAAATGTTGGAATTACAGGCATGTGCTACCATGTTTGATGAGATATTTTGGCTGAGACTTACTTATTTACAGGGTTTTTGTCTTTACTGTCAGAAACTACTAGAGAAGCCTTACAGAGGCTCACGGGCCAAACCTTGTCTTGAGCTAAAAGTGTGTCTGTATTTTTGAATGGCTGAGAAAAGCCAACACAAAAGAGGAATGATATTCCATAACTGATGAAACTCAAATTGCACTGCCCATAAATGAAGTGTTGTCAGAACGCGGTCATGTTTGTTCATTTGCCATCAGACCTGCTTTCCCACCACCTCTGCAGAGACTGCAGCCACGAAGTCTGCCTCAATACCCTCTGATAAATTCTCCGTGCTGGAAATAATTTGCTGGCCTGTGACTCGAAGCTAACATAGAATTCCTCTGAGTTGAAAAATCCATGATAATAAAGACTTGTGAACTGTGAGTGTGTGTGTATGCTGGTCATGGGGCTTGTACTCGGGGCCTGGGAGCTATCCCTGAGCTTTTGTGTTCAAGGCTAAAGCTCTACTGCTAGAGCTACAGCTCAAATTCTGGCTTTTTGGTGGTTAGAAATGAGAGTCTCATACTTTCTTACCTAGACTGGCTTTGAACCATAATCCTCAGATCTCAGCCTCCAGAGTAACTGGCAGAAGCCTGGGGGAGACATTCCCTTCACTTTCCAAGACCTTGAGTAGAGGCCAAAGCTGCTGTGCCTGTCCCAGTATTAGAGCCTTAGCATAATAATCTTCTCCCTTGTGGGAATCCAGAGGCCACAGCAAGAAAGAGGCAGCGGCTACATGAGGTGGTATGCAACTAACCCCAGCTTAAAACTGAGTTTAAAGATCTCAAGCTCCAGGCCAGCCTGGGCTATTGGTGAGACCTCTAAAAAACCAATAAAGCCAGGCGCTAGTGGCTCATGCCTGTAATCTTAACCTACTCAGGAGGCTGAGATCTGAGGATCTCAGTTCGAATCCAGCCCAGGCAGGAAAGTCCATGAGACTCTTACCTCTAATAAACTACTCAGAAAAAAAAATTGGAAGTGGTGCTATGACTCAAGTAGTAGAGCACTAGCCTTGAGCAAAAGAAGCTTAGAGTCAGCACCAGGCCCTGAGTTTAAGGACCAAGACAGCACACACACAAAACATAAAGAGTCAAGAGCTGGGATTGAGCTGGGGATGGTAGAGCAGGGGAAGTAATCAACCTGCACAAGGCCTTGGCATCAATCTAAGGCACTGCAAACACACACTCTCTCTCTCTCTCTCTCTCTCTCTCTCTCTCTCTCTCTCTCTCTCTCTCTCTCTCTCTCTCTCTTTCTCTCTCTCTCTCTGCCAGGAGCCAGTGGCTTGCACCTGTAATCCTAACCTCTCAGGAAGCTGAGATTTGAAGACCACAGTTCAAAGCCAGCTAAGGCAGGAAATTCCATGAGATTATTATCTCCAATTAACTGCCAAAAGACCAGAAGTAGAGCTGTGGCTCAAGTGGTAGAGTGCTAGCCTTGAGCAAAAAAAAAGCTAAGGGACAGTACCTAGACCCCGAGTTCAAGCCCCAGGATGGGCACATAAAACAAAATGTACATACATATACAGGCCATGCACACTCCAGTAGTCCCGGCCACTTGGGAGACTGAGGCAGTAGGATTACTTGAGCCTGAGCAATGTAGCAAGACACCCTGTCTTTAATTAAACAGAAAAACAAAAAGACTTGGTTTTGTTTTCAGTTGCCATTGATAGAATAATCACTCTGCAACTTTGAGCCTGGTTTTCCTGCCCAGAAATGCCCTGAGATAACCTCCTTTGTCCTGTCTGATCCTATCCTCTCCATTAAAAACAACAACAACAACAACAAATGACCAGTCAGTGGCATTTATTTTTTTAATCAAGGAGAAAGAGCTAGGGATAATAAGCCAGGCCTGCTGAACCTGCCTCTCCTAGCTGTTTTGAATGTGCTGTGGTAGTAGATTAGAAGTACACAGCAATGTCACCTACTGTGGCCAGGGGGGAAGAAGATGAGACTGGATATCTGCTTGTCAGACACGAGTGGGAGACTGACCTCTGCTTGCTGAGACATGAGGGAGGGGACACTTCTTTCCCTGCCAACCCTGTTCTGTCCTAATGCTCCCAGAAGCCCCTGGGCTGAGCATCCCACATCCCTCACCTGCCCATCTTTTTTCCCCAGGTGAGCCTTGAACCAGGATGGCTGAGCCCCGCCAGGAGTTTGACACAGCAGAAGATCATGCTGGGGGCTACACCCTGCTGCATGACCAAGATGGAGACACGGAACATGGTCTGAAAGGTTAGTGGGTGACCCAGCAACCACTTGCCTTACAGGGACTGGCAGAAAGGGTTCACATCCTGGTTTTTAAAAGAGTCTTCAATACCTTGTTGTGAGCAAAAGGGCACCACGTTTATTTGAATGGGCCAAGATAACTCAGAACTGGGGTCGGGGGGGGGGGGGGGGGTGGGGAGGGAGCAGCTGGTTATCTGAAAATCCACCTTTCCAGAGTAGAAGACTGCTTGAATGGATGGAGTGTGACAGAGACTTCCATGGCTTGTCACTCTCAGTAATACACGGGCTCTTTGATTCAGGAGCTACACCTGCCAGCCTATAAAATAGTACTCCGATAAGCATGTGAAATGTGTAGCTTTATTCATAACATTGTAGCCCTTTAAATCAGATCTGTCTGGCCCCTGTCTAGCAAGATAGGTGAGATCTGGATTTTTTTTTTTTTTTTAATCAATCATGGGGCTTGAACTCTAGGCCTGGGTGCTGTCCCTCAGCTCTTCAGCTCAAGGCGAACATTCTACCACTTGAGCCACAGCTCCACTTCCGGTTTTCTAGTGGTTAATTGGAGATAAGAGTCTCACAGCTTTTCCTGCGCTGGCTGACTTTGAACCAAGATCCTCAGATCTCAGCCTCCTGAGTAGCTAGCATTATTAGGTGTGAGCCACCAGTGTCTGGTAGTTAAACTCGTTTTTTTTAACTGTATCCCCATTAATAAATCATACCTGCATATGCAAAAGCTAGAATACAATCTCCTGGCCATGGTGCATGACCTCTCCCTTGACCCCACTCTGCCTCACCATGTAACCACGTGTTTACCATCCACGGACACCCAGAGTCCTGGCTGTAGCTCTTACAGCCAGCCCCTCATTCCCTGCCAGAGCTGTGCTATATGGTGTTCCACAACCCCCCCAGCATTCCCTTCCCAATCCACACTCCCAGGTACAGCCCCACTTAGGGCCCTGGTGAGAAGAACACCCTACCCCCTCCCCAGAACCATTGTCAGGGAGATAAAATGGCAAGGATTTACATTTTTCTTTTTGCTGTTGTGGTTTGCTTTTATTATTGTATTTCTTTGTTTTTATTGTCTACCCTCAAAAAAAGTGATTACCCCTCCTGTTATGAAACTCTAGAGAAGCAATAGGAACTGGAGTTTCTTAGCTGGACACGGCGGCTCAAACCTGTAATCCTAGACACTCAGGAGGCAGACATTATAGTGGAAACCATCCTGGGCACAAGAGGCTCACAAGATCCCATCTTAATCAAGATTGGGCAAGGCAGTGTGCATCTGTTATCCCCAGCCTGGGAAAAGCACAATGGCTGGATGCAATGGTCCACAGAAACACAGGGAAACATAACTAGGAAGATCGCAGCCCAAGTAGAACAGGGTCCATTTCTCTTGTAATGCTAAAAATAATGAAGTGCTTTGCAGTCAGGGTGTGGGGTAGTTAGTGAAGCCCTGGAGTCTGGGCTGAGAACAGACTCCACTGCAGTGTCCATCCAAGGAGAGTACTTGGAGGAGGGCTGGGATGAGGTGGGCAGCAGGGGGCGCTATCTCACAGGCTGGCTTCTGCCTGTGTAAGGAGTTGGGGAGGGAGGTACTAGGCAATTAGTTTTTTTGTTGTTCTGGTTTTTTGTGGGATTTTTTGGTTTGTTTTTTTTTGTTGTTGTTGTTGTTTTGTTTTGTTTTGTTTTTGTAGGTCATGGGGCTTGAACTCTGAGCCTGGGCACTGTCCCTTAGCTCTTCAGCTCAAGGCAAGCACCTTATCACTGGAACCACAGTGCCACTTCCAGTTTTCTGGTAGTTAATTGGAGATGAGTCTCACAGACTTTCCTAGCTGGGTTGGCTTTGAACCGTGATCCTCAGATCTCAGCCTCCTGAGTAGCTGGGATTACAGGCATGAGCCACCAGTGCCCTGCTGATGCTGGAGAATTAGAAAGGCTGGTCACAGTGACACAGTTGGGGTGGAGGCTAGCTCACAGGTGAGGGTTGGGGAACACACTACAGTCAAACTTCCCAACGTGGAACCAGTCACCACCAAGTGCTATGAGAAATGTATAATAAGTTCAGTTCTAGCCATGAGCACTGGTGGCTCATGCCTGTAATCCTAGCTACTCAGGAGGATCACTTCAAAGCCAGCCCAGGCAGGAAAGCCTGTGAGACTCTTATTTCCAATTATCCACCAGAACACCAGAAGTGGCACTATAGATCAAAGTGTTAGAGTGCTAGCCTTGAGCTAAAGAGTTCAGGGACATCTCCCAGGCCCTGAATTTAAGCTCCACAAACAAATAAACAAACAAATTCAATTCTGAAAAAATCTCTTGGTTAACACCCAAGTTAGAATCATAATATACAGAACTCACAGTGAAAGATTCATATCCTGAACTAGTGTGTATGCACGTGTAACCACATGTATCCACATGTAACCACACAAAAAAGCATGGTTTAACTATTAAAAATGTATATTATAGGGTTGAAGGCATGCCAGCAAGCTCAAAAAACTTCAGTACAGGGGCTGGGAAGGTAGCTCAGTGGTAGAATGTTTGCCTCACATGCATGAGGCCCTGGGTTTGATTCCTCAGCACCACATAAGCAGAAAAAGCTGGAAGTGACGCTGTGGCTCAAGTGGTAGAACGCTAGCCTTGAACTGAAGAGCTGACGAACAGCGCCCAGACCCAGAGATCAGGCCCCACAACTGACAAAAAACCAACAACAACAAACTTCAGTACAGCCAAAAAAAATAAAAAGGTATACTATGTTGCCAAAAAAAGTCTGTACCATAATAATGTCAGATGTTAATAACTGAGTGTACTGAGTAAGAGGAAAACCCTACAATTTTCACAATTTTTCTGTATATCTAACTGTCCTAAAATTACAAGTTCATTTAAATTAAAGTGAGAATGGGGGAGTGGTTTTTACTCATATTATTTGTCTAAAAGAGATATTGTATTCAATTTGTAAGTAGAACAAGCTTACCAGGTTTCTCTGATTCAGGGTCACCTAAAGCTTATTTGCTCAAACTACCCAATTTTTTGTTTTTGGTCCATCATAGAACTCTTTTTATTCAAGATTGGTGCCCTACCACTTTGAACCACATTTCCACTTCTAGTTTTTTAGTGGTTCATTGGAGATGAGAGTCTTATGGGCTTTCCTAACCAGGCTGGCTTTGAGCTATGATCCTCAGATCTCAGCCTCCTGAGTAGCTAAGATTACAGGCATGAGCCACCAGCATCCAGCTTAAAACTATCTTTCACATGAAATATGAGACATTCTATGCTAGCACCACACACCACCACCACCACCACCATCACCACCACCACCAACAACAACAATAACAACAAAACAGCAACACTGAGGTTGCTAAACCTTTTGGAAATGTCTCTGAAATGAAAGCCTGTGATGATAATTTGCTTACCCAAAGATTGTACTTTCCACAAAAACCAGTGATGCCTAAGAGATTTCCATACTTTCCATCAAGTTGATTCCTGGTACTGAGCAGTGTAGAATGATCTATTTTTATGTGAGAAGTGACAGGTTTCACTTGGCAGAAGGTATCACTGTACTAACAACAGTTTAGATAAGTGACAAAAGACTGTTTTGAATAATGACAAGAAATGGCAGATGTGTGAAATAGCAGAACAAAGAGTGTCTAAGCAGATGCTCAAAACTGGAGTAGGACTGAATACAGGCAGAGAGCTGCAAAGTGGTTTAAAAAAAAATCTCGTTAGCTTGTAAAACCATGCACCCTCAGGATTAAAAGGGGGTAATAGCTTGATTTGCCTTCCAGACACTCAGAAGGGGCATCTCCCTCCTTCCTCCCCTCCAAGAACAATGCAGATGGTGAGCAGGGTGGGAAAGGAGCTCCATCACAGCTTGTGCCCTGTCCCCTGCAGTCCAAGCTGGTTAGTACCAAGACCCAAAGGTTGTCTTCCTGGTGAGGCATCACCAGATGTCCAAATCTTCTTGAAGCATATTGTGAGTTTTCACATGCTCCAGGACCAAGGAGCTGGATAGTCCCAAAGCTTGTGTAGCACTGGGCAGTCCTTTGGCACAATGGGTGCCTGAGGTCCATGTCTTAGAGGCTGCATTTTGACCAAGGCCGCGGGGTGCATGATTGTGTTGTGGACTTGAACTCCATTTGTCTTTGTTACTGTGTTCTGCCTGTGCATAGAGTCACCACCACCCTGGTCCCCCATTCTGACTCTGAGATTGCTCCAACCTTAGAATCTCCCTCTTGCTTTTTAAAGGGCAATATCTATCTCTTGAATGCACCAGAAACACCTGCAACCTAACAAGTGCCCATCCATACTCCGCTCTCCAGCTATGAGTGGCACCACCATTCATAGGGTCATGATGATGGCCCTGGCCAGCCGTTATAACCTTCCACGGCTCCCCAGGGACCTCATCCTCCAGTTCACCTGACCCACACATCCCTATATCAAACCTTGGCTTAAACACAGCGGTCCTGTGGCCTTTGCACCCTCCTCCCTTCATTCTGTCTCATCCACTGAGGGCAGGAGGCCATTCCTTAGAAAAATGACTGGCAGGCCTGATCTGGTCCTTTGCCTGCTTGTGTCCAGTCAGCAGGCTGAGAATGTTTTCTTTTTTCATATGGAAAAAGCAAAACTATCTTTATCAAGCAGTTTCCACCTTCAAGGTATCTTAGGGATATCATAGATCAGAAGGGGCCTGGGACCTAAGGCAGGAGAAATTCAAGCCCAACCTAGATTACATAGGTAAGACCCTGGACAGGAAGGAAGGAAGGAAGGGAGGGAGGGAGAAAGGGAGGGAAGGATGGAGGGAGGGATAGGGAGGAAAGGAAAAAAAGAAAGAAGCAAAGAAGGGAAGGAAATAAGATGGTTCAAAGGGAGCACCCAAATATCATCTCCCAAAACTTCCCCGGGAGGCTGAGTGTTGTGGCCTCTTGACTAGACACAGCTCAAGTCATATCGGATGATTTCCAAGGAGGAAGAACTAGATGGAAGGGCTTGGTGAGGGGGAGAGGGGGGAATCCCTCAGCAGCCTGTGTCACGGAAGAGGTATCTGTAATGTGTCTGATGGGGTACAAATCTCATGTGGCTGTGACTACAAATGGTGCAGGACTTTCCTTCCTATGATCAGAGCCCATATGTTCATCTGATGGCATGCTAGGAGCCCCAGGAATTCCTATGAGCTATCTACATAAACATTAGCAACAGCATTAAAAAAACAACTCACGTTCCTGTTAGTGCACAGTGCTCCCTCTCCCTGAGCCCTTCAGTCAAGGTAGCGTGGTAAGGACTGACAGTAATCACCACATCTTGATGGCTTCTCACATGCCAGGCCTGGCATGTAGTACTTTAAATATGCTTTAAGTAGTTTCATAATCACGAAAGCCTTGTGAACAGAACTGTGAGCCCCATTTTATAGGGGAGGAAACTGAGGAAGAAAAAAAGTTAACTCCCTTGGCCAGAGCCACACAACTGGTAGGTGGCGGGACCAGGTTTTGGGCTCCCTCAGCCTGATTCCAGAGGCTGTGATCTAACTCCCTGGCTTTAGATTTCAGTCTATGCCTTGAGTAGGATAACTATGCAGCAAAGAACATTCTGCAGCCCATACATGCATGAAGAGTAGTGAACGGCTATCATACAGGTAAGAGGATTCACCTAGCCAAGAGCTGAGGAGCCTTGACCCATCAGAAGACAGGAGAGTTCTTTCTGGGTATGCAGGACCAGGCTCAGGAGAAGACAAGGAAACATAGGTGACTAAGAGGTCTTGGAAAAGGACTCCAAAATCTGATGGGAGCTTTTCATGTTTCATTTCATCCATCCATCCATCCCCCTAAGGAACACACACAAAACACCTGTGTCCTGGGACTCTGGGGGACACAGTTACATGGGGGAGATGGAGGGCTGGATCCCTTTACGGTTTCATCATGAGGCAATGGGGTCCACTGTGAGGGGGCTGCAGCTCAAAAGACACTGCTCCCAAGTCCCTCCCAAGGGCACAGTGGGGCTGGGAAGAGGCAGCCATTCTGAGGGCTCATTGTGTATGTTCCAGAGTCTCCCCTGCAGACTCCTGCCGATGACGGATCTGAGGAACCGGGCTCTGAGACCTCTGATGCTAAGAGCACTCCGACGGCTGAAGGTGGGGCCTCCCTCCCACCGACCGCACCCTCCCTGTGGCCGGCCTGCGCTTAGCCATGCTCTGAGCCTCCCATCCTGGCTGGGCACTAGGCCGGTGGCCTCCCTGCTGGCTGGCCACACTCCCTGCTCCCTCTCCCACTGGCTGAGAGCTGTGCCGTGCAGTGCTTTGCAGGATGCTGCTGCTTCTCTGCCTTGCTCACCGGTGGTCTCGCGTGTGCTTCTGATGCCACCATGCTTTGAGAGACTGAACTGTGTGCCACAGCTCCCCAGAACCTCCATCCTTCCTCAGCCCCCTCAGGACCTCCGCTTTGCTTTTCTCTCAGGACCCTGGGTCTCCATTTGGCTGAAGTACGGGTGGGGCAGAGCATCTCCTCAGCTACGCCTTGGGATTGATCTTGGTTTCATGTCCTTCCTTTCTTGGTCCCTGGACAGGGCTTGGGCCTCTGGACTTGGGCTGTGGGGTGTGTTCAAGCTCTTCTAGCTTGTCCCCTCCAGATATCTGGTGTCCAAATTTTTATAAAATCCCTTACCTGTTTCCTGAAACACTTCTTACTCCTGGTTTTTCACCACCTTCTCTTGTTTTCCCATCTGTGTTAATGGAAACTACTATATTTGAGTCCAGGCAACAGAAAACCCAACTCATGATGGCAAATGTGTGAAGAGGTTTGTTCATCTCACTTAATAAGATGTCTAGACTTGGGCAGCAGTTCCCTGACATCGTTAATGCACTCTGTCTTCATCTCCTGCTATCCTTAATGGATGGGTCATTGCCTCTTGATTGCAAGATGGCTGCTGCAACCCTAAGCATCATGTCTGAGCAAGAACAAGTGCAAAGTATAATCCGGGCACTGATGGCTCATGCCTGTAATCTTAGCTACTCAGGAGGTTGAGTTTTGAGAATCCTGGTTCAAAACTTGCCTAGGCAGACATATCTGAGAGAATTTTTTAATTTTTTAATTTTTTTTTTTTTTTGCCAGTTGTGGGGCCTGAACTCTCCGCCTGAGCGCTGTCCCTCAGCTCTTCAGCTCAAGGCTAGTGCTCTACCACTTGAGCCACAGCACCACTTCCAGCTTTTTCTGCTTATGTGGTGCTGAGGATTCAAACCGAGGGCCTCATGCACGCAAGACAAACGTTCTACCACTGAGCCACCTTCCCAGCCCTTAAAAAAAAATTTAATGTCTGTCATGGGGCTTGAACTCAGGGTATGGGCACTGTTCCTGTGCTCTTTTGCTCAAGGCTAGCACTCTACCACTTGACACAGCACCACTTCCAGTTTCCTGGTGATTTATAGTCTTGCGGACTTTCCTGCCTGGGCTAGCTTCAAAACCACAATCCCCAGATCCCAGCCTCCTTAGTAGTAGAATTATAGGCATGAGTCACCATTGCCCAGCCTCTGAGAGACCTTTTTCTCCATTTAAACAACAAAAAGCCAGAAGTGCAACTATCGCTCAAGTGGTATAGTGCCAGCCTTGAGCAAAAATGCTCAGCAAGAATGTGAGGCCTTGAGTTCAAGCCCTGGTACTGACACAAAAAAGAAATGAAAGAAAGGAAGAAAGAAAAAAAGGAAGGAAGGAAGAAAAGTAAAATAGCCAAAAGAGAACTGATACCCACTGTGTTCTCTTAGGAAAACAGGCGTTTTCCTGTAAGCTCTTCCTGGCAGATTCCCACTTGTATCTTTTGGCCAGACCTGGGTCTCTTGGCCACCCTTGGTACATGGCTGGAATTTTGAGCATTTTGCTTTTCAGCCTGTTTAGTAAAATAAATCAAGAGAGAGGGACATGGAGAATCATTTTTGAGCCAGTCAGTGGCATCTGCCCTCTATCACTTCATCCTCCTCAAAGAGATCCAAGCTTCATTCCCCTCACTTCCCCACACCCTGCACCTTGCATTGTTATATCACTGGAGGAGAACTTAGCCCTGGCAGCTTCTTAAGCATCCACCTTTGAATTAGTCCAGAAAGTTGCTGTCAAGTCCCGGCCAGCTACTTAGCGTAAAGGCACATGTGTGGAAGGTGCAGCCAGTTAGCCCTTAGTCCTGAGCTCCTCAGTCTGGTGACGGTGTCCAGGTCAAATTCTCTTTGCTTCCCTGATAGCTGGTCATGCAAGACATTTCCTGCTCATCTGTTTTACAAGTTGCATGTCACCTGAGGAAGTCCTGAATTCTTGCACTTGCCTCCCCAGCCTGGCTTTCCACACTGTCATTATCATTCCAGAAGAAGCTTTCTCCCATGGCTTAGTGCAGTCTAGACTGTACCTGTGTAGCCCCAGGCACCTTGGCTCTTGCAGAGAGCTTGGTGGAGGCGGGGTTTTATCTAGCTGCTATATCTACACTGGAGATGACCATAATTTAAGTGGCCTTCATGAAACAAAGCTGACTGGCTCCCAAGAACCCTTCAGAGCTGACCACCTCTCATGCCCAGAGCACCTGGACGGAACTAGGCCGCTCCCGAGGACCAATGGTCTATGGTGTTTGCTTCCATGGGACACTGACCACAGCTACTAGAGGGCTACCTCATGCCTTTGCCATAAAGCTGAATTCATCAATGGTCCCCCACGACGGGGGGGGGGGCCGGAAGTCTTGGGCCTGCTTAGTGCTGGTGCTTCCTTGCATGTAGCTGCTCCCTTCCCTGCATCACTTTGATTAAGCAGCAAAGGACAGCGGCTGGGCATGTACACCCCCCATACACACCTGAGGTCATTATTGGTGGTTTTCAGACGTGACCGCACCCTTAGTGGAGGAGAGAATCCCTGGCGAGCAGGCTGCTGCCCAGGGCCACACGGAGATCCCAGAAGGAACCACAGGTGAGGGCAATTCTAGGGCTCTCGCCGGCTGTGAAAGCCCTACCTGCTGCTGCAACTGTCCTGCTGCACAAATGCAGCCATGTCTGAGTGAGGCGGGAATGTGGGCCATGGTGGGAGGAGGTGGGGAGCTGCTCTCCACCAGGCTCCCAGAGAGCATCTGGGCCCTTCTGGATTCCTCCTGGATCCCACTCCTCCTTACTCATGTTATCAAATCCAGAGAGTTCTATGCCAGGTGTTTTAAGGTAGGCAAGACAGACCTATGCCACTTTCACACCCTAGGGCAGTTCTTGCTCCTGCTCGGATGCTGATGGGTGGCAGGGGACCCTTAAGGGACAAGCTTACCCCCAGGAGCACCCAAGCACACAGGGTCTCAGCTGGTGGTCCCAGAAGAATTCAGAAATGTGGCCTGGCATCCATTTGGAGAACATTGTTGGCTTTCAACACTGTCATTATAAAACTGTCCCACACCACAGTGACCGCAGGGATGGGGAATCTGTCTGACCAGACACTGATGAGCCCAGTCACAAAGGCCCTAGGAAAAAGCCAGCACAGCCAGGAGCCCCAGGTACCTGCCACCCACCCCCACCCCCCGCCCGCCCCACACACCTTTGAATCTTCTTCCTTGGGTGCACAGAAGACTCCAGACATTGGCTCACCAAGCCACAGCTGCTCAGCAAGCACTGCTAAAGATCTCTGCACAGGAAGCTCCAGCAATGGAGGCAAGGAAAAGAACCCCAGTCGGGGCTCTCTGGCCTTCCTGAATCTTGGTGGTTTTTTTACTCCAAGTTGGGGTTCAGAGCATCCATTGCAGCGAGAGAGAGCATCACCCCTTCTCTTTCAATGTTTCTACTTTGCTAGGTGATGGCCCTCTGCTGTTAGCAAAGTCATCAGAGATAGTGGAGGAGACTTTCTCAAGACTAGTAGAGCCTCAGCCTTGAGCATGAAGGAGATTCAAGGTCACAGAACAACTCACAGTGTGACTTGGTGATTTGTTTTGTTTTGCTTGCCAGTTCTAGGGCTTGAACTCAAGGCTTAGTCTCTGTCTCTAAACTTTTCTGTCCTCAAAGCTAGCACTCTACCACTTGAGCCACAGCTCCACTTCCAGCTTTTTCTGAGTAGTTTATTAGAGATAAGAGTCTCACAGACTTTCCTGCCTGGGCTGGCTTTGAACAGCAAGCCTCAGATCCCAGTCTCCTGAGTAGCTAGGATTAGAGGAGTGAGCCACCAGCACTGGGCTGTGACTTGGGGTTTTGTTTTGTTTTGTTGTCTTTTTCTGTAATTATCACTTTACAGTTTTGTCAGTTATGAAATTTCTCCCCTATCCTGATGAAAACTTGAGCCAACTCTTGACTTCTTCCTTCCTTCTGGGAAAACAGAAACACTTTAGTCTCCATAGTGCCAAACCGTCTGCAAGTGCCAATCGGGATGAATGGTGGTCAGTCCATAGGACACTGGAGCTCTGGCCCCATTCTGGGGTCACCTTACTCGGTCCAGCTGGTGTGGGGTAGGTGGGTAAGAGAGATAGCCAGGTAGCACTGGTGTGAGTTGCGCCCCCACTCCCTATACGTGTTCAGAGGTAGCTTCTTCCCGATTTCCCTCTCTGCCTCCTGCCATGCTCCTCTGAAGATCTCCATCCACTGGATTCTAGCCACATGTCCTCCCTCCTTCCTTTCCTGGATCTAGTGGCAGACACACCTCTGCCGGTTGTAGCTTGCTCCTGCTGGTACCTACTAGACACAATCTCTTGTCCCCACATGGTCTGTCTGATCTGTGCCCACTTCAGGTCTGTAGGTGTGCAGCCTGCTGAAGGGGTCAGCATTGCACCTTTGCTCAGCCACCACTGCTGGCCTATCCCCTCTTCCAACCTCTAGTTCTCCCAGGTAGAGCCCTCACAGCAGTCCTAAAGGTCCCCAGCCAGAGGGAGCACAGGTCAAGGATCTCGTCTCCAGGTGGCGATGGCTTAAAAACCATGGAGCCACTGGGCATGGTGGTATACACCTTTAATCTCAGCTCTCAGGAAACTGCGGCAGGGACTTGAACATAGCCAGACCCTGTTGAAACAAATAGTACAAGAGCTAGGGATATCATTCAGTGGAAGAGCACTTGCCCTGCGTTAGCAAGGAAGGCCCTGGATTCAATTCCCAGTGCCACACGAAAATGGTGGAGCCACCTACAGCTTGCAGCCCTTCATATCTTGGTATGGTATAGAGGTCTTGGAAGCTGGGGCATCCGTTTTTCAGCTGTTGACTGTGCATGGATTTAGCATCTTGCTTCGCTGCATTTTGATGTTCCTATGAAGGTGGCCATGGATGTCCAGTGGGGGCTGACGCTTGGCTGCCCCACGGCGGAGCCCCTGCCCCCTTGAAAATATTCCCCAGGGATGCGAGAAGTCATTTGTGACAGGACACCAGCACTATGTGCCATCTCCACCTTGGGTTTTTCTCATCTGCTAGGGTCAGAGATCTTGGCGAGCCCGCAGCTCGGCCTCACACCAGGGCCAGAATGTCATAGCCCTATCTTGTTGACTCTCCTAATGTCAAGACAGTGATGAAATCCCTCTGTCTTGAGGATTCCGTGGCCATGTAGCTGGACTTGCTGTCTCTCTGAGCCTGTCTTCCACTTCCACAATCTTGTCCAAAACCCACACTTGGCAGACTCTGCCTCCTGGGAAATTGGCCCAATGCTTAGCTAATACCATGTCACCTGACAATGAACTGTCGCCATTAGACCTAATGGGCAGCACAGGGACAGCTTTGGGGACCCAGGAGGTGTGTGATGATGACCTTAAGGAGGGGAGGTCCTGAGCCCATTGCCCTTTCCAGCCCCACCATAGCTGCCCCATGATAGCCAGTGGATTGGCTATTAATAAGGCCACTAGTAGCTAGTCAGCAACTCCAGATCTCTCATTGCTGTCCCTAGAAGGCCAAGCTGACATGTTGGTTCTAGGTGCAGAGAAAGCACCACTAGTCTGGGAGGCAGGCTGCTGGGCCAGCTAGCAATGTGACGGCCTTCTCCGAGGCAGTGGGCACCTCTTCCCACCTCAGGCAGCTGGTAATTCTAGGTCAATGCATTATAAACTCTGCCCAGGATGATTGCATCTGCCGTGCTACAGCTTTACCCTAACTTCTGCTGTCTCCTAGGTATGAGCACTTATTGATTTGTGGCCTATTGGTGTAGTCAGAGCTTTTTTCAGTCTTTTTGTTTGGGGTGACTGGTGGCTCCCTAAACAGGAGCCCAAGATCCCCTATAAGCTGCTCACCTGTTCTGGATGTTCTATTAAAGGGACACAAAGGGACAATACTTACCATCTTTGGAGGAACTACCTATAACAGGCTCAGGGCTAAACATCCTTGCAGAGAGTCTCTCTCTCTCTCTCTCTCTCTCTCTCTCTCTCTCTCTCTCTCTCCTCTCTCCTCTCTCTCTTTCCTCTCTCTCTCTCTCTCTCTCTCTCTTGCTCACTCGCTCTTTCTTTGTGCCAGACCTAGTGCTTTATGCTCAAGGCTAGCACTCTACCACTTCAGCCACAGCTCTACTCCTGGCTTTTTGGTAGTTCACTGGAAATAACAGTCTTGTGGACTTTCCTGCCCCAGCTGGCTTTGAACCATAATCCTTAGATCTCAGCTAGGATTACTGGTGTGAGCCACCAGTGCCCAGCCAGATTCTCTTATTATCCCTGCCATCTTCCTACAGTCAAACCCACATCATCTCCTTGGAGCTTCAGAGAAGGAAATTGGTTCAGAAGTATCAAGTGGCAGTGCCTGGGTATGCACCTGTCTACCTGACCCCTCTGCATCATGCTTCCCTGGAACCTCCCTCCTGTGGCTCCTAAAAATGGTTCCACCCACCATCTCCTCCATCCAGGTGTCTTTGTGGAAAAGGTCTTTTCTTTCTTTCTATCTTCCTTTCCTTTCCCTCCCTTCCTTCCTTCCTTCCTTTCTTCCTTCCTTCCTTTCTTTCTTTTTCTTCCTTTCTCTCTCTTTCTTTTCTCTTATTTGTTTGTTTGTGACAGTCCTGGGGCTTGAATTCCAGGCCTGGGTGCTGTCCCTAAGTTTTTTTGCTTGTAGCTCCACTTCTAGCTTTTTTATTTTCATTTTTATTTTTGGTGTTTAATTGGAGATGAGAGTCTCACAGAGTTCCTTGCCCAGGCTGGTTTTGAACTGCAATCCTCAGATCTCAGCTTCCCAAGTAGCTAGGATCACAGGCGTGAGCCACCAGTACCCAGCTGAAAAGTTCTTTCTCCCAGATCTTCATCACCTTGAAGGGGTGTGGTGCTGTGGCTTTTGTTTCAGGAACTCATGTCATCCCCGTCCCTAGCATTGACTTAGGGGCAGAGCTGCAGCAACGGTCCTCTTAGGAGCCACTTTCCCTGCAGGTCTCAGAAAAGATACAGGAGACACAGAAAGCCTGGGTCCCAGCAAGCAGTAACTGTGTGCTTATGTTCTCTCCCTTTGCCTCTGCCGGAGCAGCTGAAGAAGCGGGCATTGGTGACACCCCAAACCTGGAAGACCAAGCTGCAGGACACGTGACTCAAGGTCAGTGACCCCAAATTGTCTCCACACTTGAGGGTCAGGAAGAGGGGGATGGGAGCCTTCAGAGGGGGCGCTACCTGGATAATAGAGCTCTGACCTAGGCCCTCATGCTCAAACTCAGGGGACTTGGGGGACATGGTTCTCATCAAAGGTGGGCTACTTAGAGTTGGCAAGAGTCTTGATGGGGTCTCCTGACACTATACGGAGTCTTTCCTGAGGTGCTCTGTCTCCTGAAGGCAGCCAGCCCTGCCAGCCCAGCCATGGAGAATGTCCAGCAGCCCTCCTAAAAATAACTCTGAAAGCTTGCCCTCTTCCTCACCTCATCACCAGCAAGTGTTTGTGTTTGAGCTTCCTTTGGGGCAGCCTTCAAATCTCTGATTTCCTTCTCAGAAACTCAACTTCTGTGTTCAAGAAAAGCAGCTTTCCTCAGGCACCAGTGGCTCAAGCCTGTAATCCTAGCTACTCAGAAGTCTGAAATCTGAGGACTGTGGTTCAGAGCCAGCACTAGTAGGAAAGTCCAGGAGAGTCTTATATCTAATTAACCCCTAGAAAACCAGAAGTGGTATTGTGGCTCAAAGCCTTGACTGAAAGATTTCAGGGACCGTGCCTAGGTCCTGAGTTCAAGCCCCACAACTACCACCAAAAAAAAAAAATTTTTAATTTTAAAATCCTAGTGCATTAAGTTGAGGAAATGAGACTCTGACATAGGTTTTGGGGGGAGGGTTGTCTGGGTTTTTTAAAATCATTTTTCTGGATAAATGAACTAGAGTCTACTGTATAATGTGGAAACATCTGGATTTTACAAAAGGTGGGCTGATGCATCCTGCCTTAGTGGTGCTGGCTGGTTTTTGGGAACACTGCCTTGCTGATGTCGACACATTCCTACTCTTAGAGGGGTCCTGGCCTACCACTGAGCCACGCCCGCAGCTCTCTTGTTTTCTTTTAGCATTTGTATAGTCCAAACCCATAGAACTCACCAATTGTTTTCATATGAAACAGTGGATCTGAATTTGTTCTGTAAATTTTTAGTGCAGACCATGGCTTACATGGCTCTGTCTTCCCAAATAAGGCTTAGGAGTATGTTCATAAGGGGCCTAAGAGATGGAAACCCAGAATAGAGCCATCAGATGTTGAGACTCAGGTGTGTAAGGGCCTCGTCCATACCCAGCTCACCTCCAGAGGCAGACCTTCTTCCTTTGGGTGAACCTGGACACTGAGAGGAACCGGGGACAGTTTGTCTGGTCTCTATGTTTACTAGATACTCTTTACTTGGACTCTCCCTCTACCCCTCCCCCGTGACTGCCATGTTTAATATGTATGCATCAATTGAAGAAGCCCTCAGAACCCAGTAGATCTGGAGCAGGGCTCCTCCCTTCAGCACTCTAGCTGCAGTGTGCTACGTGTTTCATCCATCCTCATACACCACTGCACACACCTGGATAGATGCCTTCAAAGTCTCTGCATGATTTCTGTTTAGGGAAGTCTCTTAGGGTCTTTTAGTATATCAGAGTCTAGAACATCCTAGTCAAGAGCAATTGCTAGGGAGCATTTTCCAGGAGGCCGCATCTTCCAGACCTGGCCTGTAGGGTTGCACCATGGTCATCAGCTCATTTTGTCCACTGAGAAGAAGCTTTGCCTCTCAGACTTAGAGCCAGCTTTCACCTGTGCTGGCTTTCTGGCTTTTGGGTTGTCCTTCTTAGAATTGGACTGAGGACCTCAATAAGGTACCTGAAGGCCCTTTGAGGAACAGAAAGCAATCTATTTTCTTGACACCAGCTATGTGACTGCCATACAGTGCTTGGAGCAGGCCATACTGAGGGTGAAGCTAAGTCTCTCTTGGTGAGCCAGTGTGCAGCCACACTGATTCCAGTGAGGGACAGAAGTACAACCCACAGTTACCCGCACATCAGTGCTCACACCTATATCAATGCACACATGTTCTCCCCTATCTTCCCCCACCGTCCAGATATCTTTCTTTTCTAAGGCTCTAAATCCTTTGGGATAGTTAGTTTGCTCAGAGGAAAGCTAGAGATCTATGTGGGTAATTAGTGGTGTATTAAGACTAGGTGGAATGTTCAAAGAGTTGAGATTAGTGCTGGTGGCTCATGCCTGTAATCCTAGCTACTCAGGAGGCTGAGATCTAAGGATCTTGGTTCAAAGCCAGCCTGGGCAGAAGAGTCCTTAAGAATCTTACCTTCAATTTACCACTAGAAATAAGAAGTAGAGCTGTGGCTCAAAGTGGTAGAGCTTGCCTGGAGTTAAAGAGCTCAGGGACAGGGACCAGGCCCTGAGTTCAAGCCCCACAACCAACAATAACAACAGCAAAGAAGGTGTGATTATAAAAAAGAGAGGTTGCTTGTTAAAAGACCCAGAGAGCATAACTTTTCTGTTCTGAGAGCACAGCAAGATTCTATTTTTAAAAAAATAAAAGATTCACATAAATGTGACATAAGTGAGCCAAAAAGAAAATGTGTTCCATTGACCCAGTGAGTTGAGGGGCCATGTGCTGGGTGGCCAGCTAGGACACTGGAGCTCTTGTCTGCCACCATGCTCCGGCCCCGCTTAGGTGAGAGGCTAGCTCTGATGGATGATCTGGACAGACGTGAATGTGCTTCCAATTATAGGAATCTTATGGGAGCCCTATTAATAAAAGCTTGATCTTTGGTGATCATGAATTAGGGCTTTTCCTAGTCTGTCAGAACATGAGCTTGAGGCCAACTGGTTTGTGACTTCCGGCAGGGGAAGCCATGAGAGAGAGAGAGAGAGAGAGAGAGAGAGAGAGAGAGAGGGAGGGGACAGGGACCCTTGATGGGCTCACAAGAGATACTGATGGGTTGGCACCCTGCAAAAGGTCTGTGGGTAAGCAGTAAGTGGAGGGGAAATGCCCACACCAAAGGGACCTGGAAAGTCATTAGGCCCAAGCCTGCTTTGATAGATGAGAAAACTGAGGCCCAGAGAGGGGAGTTTTCATCTCAGGTCACCCAGCAAGATAGACAGGAGAACTTCCATTCCAAGCAAACAAAAGCAACTTGATGGTCCCAGGGCCAGGGCCTCCCTTATGGTTGTTAAAGAGACTTGCGATGCTCTTTGAGTGTTTTTTTTTCATAGCAAAAATCATGCTTCTGTTGAGCTCAGTGGCTCACATCTATAAACCCAACTTCTCTGAGGGTAGAGATTGGGAGGATTGCAATTTAAGGCCACCCTGGGCAAAAAGTTCATGAGACCACAAATGTTCCAGTAAGCTGAACACATACGTTTGTCTCTGCTTGTCATCCCATCTATGTAGAAGTCAGAGGTAGGAGAATTGTGGTCTGAGGCTAGTCCAGGCAAAAGCTTGAGACCCTACCTGAAAAATAACTAAAACCAAAAGGGCTGTGGCATGGTTCAAGGGGGTAGAGCACCTGGCTAGCAAGTGAAAGGCCCTGAATTCAAACCCCAATGTCACCTCCCCTCAAAAAAAATTCAGACCATGACTTCACCATTGCTAATCTTTGCCACTGCTGCCTCTTCAAACCCAGAGGAAGTGAGAGTTCCAGGACAGCAGAGGGAGGCACCTGAGAGGCCCCTGGCCAAGGAGCTTAGTGTTCAAGTCCAGCCTGGACATGGCGGTGAAGTTTCTGAGAACTCAGTGCCACCTCTGGGTGACCAGCAGTCAGAGACTCCTGTCCCAGCGATCACGCACCTTCCTCAACAGCATCCCGCCCATCCAGTGCCTCCTCCACCGGGAGGGCCTGAGCAAACCCCCCAAGAGTGGGGACCAGAACGTGGAGACCAAGCCAGGGAGGGTCTGACTGTTTTGAAGCCCTCTTTCCCTGAATATCTCCACATAGAGCCTGAGAGAGTCGGGATGGTCCAGGAAAACCTGCTCAGGGAACTAGAGTGCCATGAAGGCCAGGTATCCGATCCAGAGGTCCCAGGTCTGAGCTTCCAGCACATATTGGACCTGCCTGGCACCCACTTCCTGCCTCAAGGCCTCAGAAAGGCCACATACCCACCTTCAAGGATGGGACTTGAGGACACAGAGCGAAGCTACCCAAGCTCTGAGCTGCTGGAACACCAGGAGGAGCTGGCTCTGAAGGGGGTCTGGGGCAAAGAGAGGCAGGGTGGCCAGGAAGAGCTGGATGAAGACCGTGACGTGGATGAGTCATCACCCCACAACTCCATTTCCTCCCAGACCTCACCTGCCCCTGCCGGGCCATCCCCCGCAGTGGTCTCCAGTGAGGCTACTGGCATCCTCAGCTGGCCAGCCCAGGGTGCCATCCCACTCCCTGTTGATTTCCTCTCCAAAGTTTCTACAGAGACCCCAGCCTTGCAACCCGATGGGCCCTGCACAGGGCCTACCTCGGAAGGGCCTGAGGCAGTCCCCGAGTTCACGTTCCACGTGGAAATCAAAGCCAACGTGCAGAAGGAGCAGGCGCAGGCCCACCCGGATTTGGAAGGGGCTACACTTCTGGGGGCCCCTGGACAGGAGCAAGAGGCCCGGAGCCTCTCTATGGAAGAGGCCACAAAAGGGGCTGGCCTTCTGGAACCATCTAAGAAGCAGCCTACAGCTAGCCTGCCAGGGAGACCCGTCAGCCGGGTCCCTCAACTCAAAGGTCTGTGTTTCCAGCTCCCTTGCTCATCCCCCGGCACCCTCCTGTGCCACTCAGGCTGCAGGCCCTGCCACTGAGCTTCCGGCCCTCCTCAGCTCCTTCAAGTCCAAGCTCAGGGACAGGCACTAAACTGAACACCTGGGCCACCACCGCTCCCTCCCCAGTCCCTTGCTCCTCTCACGCTTGCCGGCTGGCCATTCTGCATGTCACCACCGACACTCCCCCCCCCCCCAATCCTGTGCTTCTGCCCTGTGTGGTTCTCTGGTCACTTGATGTGGCACTGTGGTCCACCAGCCCACACAATGTTGGTGGGCACCCTCCACAAAAAAGATAACAGCTGCCACCATTTCAAGTTTCTATAACAGGCCTTATATATAGTCTAGAATCATCCCAACATTTCCAAGTAGGTTAGCCCTCCTTTGTAGATGAGAGAACTAAGACTCAGAGAGGCAAACGAAATCCACCTAAGGTCATACTCTGTAGTAAGTGATGGGACCCAGTTCTGAGTCTAGGCACACACCTCCCATGGCCCCATGATGCCCTGGAGAAGGCATTGCCATGAGCTTTTCTGCCAGAAAGGCACCGGAACCTGTCTTCTGCTGCAGACAACTCATACAGCCTTGGAGAGAACCAAGAACCCAAGGGGAGCCCATAGCCCTACCAGCTCGCGGATGAGACAGTGAGCAGAAAACAGCTGCCTGGTCTAGTATACCCTCCTCCCTGGCAGAGATGGAGGTCACTGTGCCATCTCACAGGGTCAAAGCTCAGCCACATGGAGCATGGAAACAGCCACCTTCCAGGCAGGTGCATTGATAGTTTAAAACACAAAGTTTTAGAATTATTTACAGAGCTCAACAATGGATGCGCCTTAGTTCACGGTGACAAGTCGATTTTAGATTCTACTTATGCAGAACATTTGATTCATGGTAAATAAAAGAAGTTGTGTTTAATTTTTAAGATGGAGATGAGGCTGGGCTGCCGGTAACTCACTCCTGTGATCTTAGCTATTCAGGAGGCTGAGATCAAGGATCACAGTTCAAAGCCAACTGGAGCAGGAAAGTGCTCTTAATCTCCAATAAACTACTCAGAAAAAGCTGGAAGTGGTACTGTGGCTCAAATAGTGGAGTGCTAGCCTTGAGCACAAAGAAGCTCAGGAACAGTGCCCAGGCCCTGAGTTCAAGCTCCAGGACCAGCAAAAGAAAAAAGATTAAGCTGAATACCAGTGGCTCAAAAATCTGAGATCTGGAGGATCATGGTTTGAAGCCAGCCTAGGCAAAAAAAAAAATCTCCATGAGACTACAACCCCAAAGGGCAACTGGAGGTGTATGTATCTTACCTGGTAGAGCGCTAGCCAAGTAAACAAGCAAATGTGGAGCCCTGACTTCAAATCCTAGTATTAGGGAAAATTTTTTAAAGATTAAAAACACTTAGGATACTGAGGCAGGAGGACCACAACTTCAAGGTAGCCTGGATTTCAGAAGTGAGATCCATGTAGATAGATAGATAGATAGATAGATAGATAGATAGATAGATAGATAGATAGATAGATAGATAGATAGAGATATCTATATTTCCATGTCCTGTTTTAAATTCCAAAATGGCAGGGGACAAATGACTACAGTGTTTCCCCAATGATACTTTATTTCCATCCTGACCCATCAGACATCGATACTGTGTCCAGTGGAGGATGATAAGGAAGAGCTCCATGACCCAGTGAGTGTGGAGAAAACAGAACAAGTGAAGTTAAACCCAGCTTTGCTGGTGCAGGCAGGACTTGTCAGCACCCTTAGTGTGTAAATGTGAACTGTGACCATGTAGGAAGGATGTCCAGGATAAATTTCTTGGCTGTATTTGCAAATGATAGCCTCTCCTGGAAGAGGGCTTCCTCTTTATGTCCCCTTTCCCATCTTCTGATGGGAAAGGCTGGCTCAGCAGATACTGTTATGGTGACACACATAATACCGTTAATTTGGGCCAAGGAAAAAGCATGCCAGTAGGAGCTACTTGGGGACTCCTATTGCAGTGCAGATTCTTGGGTGCTCCTTTAGGTTTCCAGACCCAGTGTGAGCAGTGCAGAGCTCATATATAAGCAGCCCTGCCAAGCGACTCTTTGTACAGTCACATTGGAAGTCTTCTGGGCTTGAGAGGCAGCACTGATCACTTTAGAAATCCAATCTACAGCTGCAGCCCAGAGCCCTGAGAGACCGCATGGCCTTAAGGCAGGTGGAATAGCATGTTGAAACCAAGAGCAGCAGCAGTCTATAGTCACATGTTCACCTGGTCAGCAATGACCAGCAAGAGGGAAAGGCTGAGTAAGCATGAGACTGAGTGGTTCAGCTGGCTCCACCCAGATGCCATCTATGGATGTGTGACAGTAACTCATTTGTACCTGACTTGGAGAAGTAGCTGGACTAACCTCCATAAAGGCTCCTATTTGGTGGCAAGACCCTGACCCCAGGGTCAGGGTAGGGTTGGATGGGCTCATCTGAAAGCATCTGGGACTAGTGGTAAGATCTCCACTACTAGGGGCAGTTTGAGGGGGGGTGGGTCACAGATAGCAACAAAGGAATGATGACTCCCCTGCCAAGCTTACCTGTTCTGGTGGCAGGTGACCTTGTGAGGGAGGTGGTTGAAAGTAGGATGGCTGGGAAGTGGACACTAGGACCACTTCCAAACTGGAGGCCTGGAACAGAAGAATCAGGGTGGCTCCCCGAGGAATTCAGGCCCTGGCTCCTAAGTGGAACCTCACAGGAAATCAAGGCCATGCCTGGCTGCAGGATGTACACAAGTCAAAAAAAAAAAAAAAAAAGATGTACACAAGTCTTCCACTCTGGTTTTGGGATCCAGCAGGAAGGGAACCTGGTAGGTCATATCATTGGGACCTTTAAATACTCTTCCAAGTAAGGTTGGCTCTGCTGGGATGGGGTTGACCTTGGCAGAGACAGGGAGATAGCCTATGACAACCCAGGGTCAACAGGTGCCTCTAACAGTGTCCACTGCAGCCCTTCTGCATGTCCCTCCCCTCACCAGCCTGCCACCCCCTCTTGCCGGGTTGCTCTGAGCCATGGCTCCAGTGTGCTGTGTGATACTAACCAAGTGAGACCCAGCAAGTTTGAAGGCGAAGAAAATCACTTTGGTTTCCAAGAAAGCCAGGCACCAGTCCTGAAGTACAATTGGCTCTTCCTAGAACTGTGCACACGGTGTTGTAACACACAGTTTTGTTTTGTATTTTCCTATCAGCTCGCATGGTCAGTAAAAGCAAAGATGGCACTGGAAATGATGACAAGAAAGCAAAGGTAAGTGGATCAGACCTTGAAGCGCAAATGCCGGCCAAGTTCGCTAGTTCGGTATGAGTACAGGCTCATACAGAGCATGTGCAGAGCATTTGTCACCAGGATACTGCTGTCATTTCAAGCCATTGTGTTTTTCTGCAAGCTTTTAGAAAAAGGAAGAAAAAAACCCGCAACATTTATCAATTTTGCTAATAACACCAGGGAAGGGCGGCCCTTGGTTGATGAATTCCTGCTCCTAATTGCCATTTCTTCACACAGTTCAAATGAAGGCATGCTTGAAATTTTCTGCAGTAACTTTGGGCTTGCACATTTTCTGCTTGCCACTACAGACCCAGCAAAACACATACATATTTAGGATACATAGAAAATTAAAAAAAAAAAAATGTGGGGCCTAGCACCGGTGGCTCACACATGTAATCCTAGCTACTCAGGAGGCTGAGATCTGAGGATCGTGGTTCAAACCAGCCCGGACAGGAAAGTCCGTGAAACTCTTACCTCCAATAAACCACCAGAAAACCGGAAGTGGCTCAAGTGGTAGAGTGCTAGCCTTGAGCTGAAGAGTTGAGGGCAGCGCCCAGGCCCAGAGTTCAAGACCCACAACTGACAAAAAAATAAATAAATAAATAAATATGGGGGCTGAGAGAGCATTGAGCAAGGAAGTGATCTCGAGCAAAAAGCGGGGTTATAGGCAAGGCCTTGGAAGAGAGCTGGAAGGAGGCTGGCATGCAGGGACATGTATGCCAAGGACGGGAACAGCACAGGCAAAGTCTAGTGAGGGTAAGCAGCTTGGTTGTTGTAGAGCTCTCTGGGGGCACTGACATGGGTTTGAAGAAGTACTGGAGGATCAGGTTTCTACCCAATCCACGTCTTAAACACAGAGTAGACAAGCATGGGTCAGTATAGTAGACCCCCATCTGGCAGTTTTGTCAAAGTGGTGATATGATATATGCAAATGGAGCAGCCTACATCCTGGGTATTGCCTGTCCCTCTCAGCCCAAATCCATTAGTGACTTTTTATCTGAGAAAATGCTCCTGAAACTGTACAATGGTGTCTTTTCTGGAAAATTCCACCACAGTCCCAGATTAGGCCTTTTTTTTGGGGGGGGGGGGTCCAGTCGTGGGTCCTGAACTCTGGGCCTGGGCGCTGTCCCTCAGCTCTTCAACTCAAGGCTAGCGCTCTACCACTTGAGCCACAGCACCACTTCCGGCTTTTTTCTTTTTGCTTATGTGGTGCTGAGGAATCGAACCCAGGGCCTTATGCATGCAAGGCAAGCACTCTACCACTGAGCCACCTTCCCAGCCCCAGACCTATTTTAAAGGAATAGTAACAAGTTTGACAAGAAATGTACTTATTACCTTACTTATGTAACTGTAACCCCTCTGTACATCACCTTGATAAATAAATAAATAAATAAAATGTCCGGTATAAATGATGCCTGGAAAGTCAGGCACAACTGGCTGTAATCCTAGCTACTCAGGAGGTTGATATCTAGGAATCATTGTTGGAAGCCAGCCTAAACAAGAGACTCTTACTTCCAATTAACCACCAAATAACCAGAAGTAGAGCTGTAGTTCAAATGGTAGAGTGCCAGCCTTGAGTGAAAAAGCCAAGTGAGAGCAAGAGTGAGACCCTGAGTTCACGTCTCAGTACCAGCATGAAGATAAAAATTAAAAGAAAATGAATTAAAAGAAAATGAGCCCTCCAGGCGCCAGTAGCTACTATAATCCAAGCTACTCAGGAGGCTGAGATCTGAGGATCACAGTTCAAAGCCAGCCCCAGCAGGAAAGTCCATGAGACTCTTATCTCCAATAAACCACTCAGAAAACTGGAAGTGGCGCTGTGGCTCAAGTGGTAGAGCGCTAGCCTTGAGCTGAAGAGCTGAGGGACAGCACCCAGGCCCAGAGTTCAAGCCCCATGACCAACAAAAATAATAAAATAAAATAGCCTGGAACAGGCTGAGAATGTACCTTAGTGGTGGCATACTTTCCTAGCATATACAGACTCTGGGTTTGATCCCTAGAACTTCAAATAATAATAATTAATTGTAAAAGTAGATGTAATTGGCACACATCTATCCCAGATACTTGGGAGGTCCTGAGCTCTAGGACAGTTTGGGAAAGGCAGTGGCAAGATCTTGTCTCAGAAGAAAGAAAGGAAAGAAAAAAAGAAGGAAGGAAGGAGGGAAGGAAGGAAGGACGGAGGGAAGGAAGGGCTGGAGCTGGGCACTGGTAGTTCATGCCTATAATCCTAGCTACTCAGGAGGCTGAGATCTAAGGATTGCAGTTCCAAGCCTGCCTGGGCAGAAAAGTCCTCATAAGATTCTTATCTCCAATTAACCACTCAAAAACCAGAAGTGGAGCTGTGGCTCAAAGTGTTAGAGTACTAACCTTGAGCAAAAGAGCTCAGGAATAGCACCCAATCCCTGAGTTCAAGAACACATGGCCTAATGTGTGCAAAGTTCTGGGTTCAACCCCCCCAGTGTAAACAAATACACACATAACACTGCCCAGCATATCTGGATTGTAGTCTGTACAAGAGCCTGCCAGGAGTCTCCATATGCAAAGATGACTCTGGAGTTTGATAGCTTGGATTGAGGGCTACTCCCTAAAGTGCCTGTCCAGTGCAAATCAGGGCTCCCCAGTCTCACAGACCCTGCCCAGGGAAGCAGCTGGGCATCCTTCCGAGACCTAAAAGAGCCCTGCCATCCCAGGGGATGCTTTCAAGTAGGAGCAATATAGATGCTTGTTAGTCATGATGACATTTAGGACTGGGACGAGGGACAGGAAACCCACTTCATGGATGCATGCATGCATCCGTGTTATCATTTGCTCCTGTGTCCATGCATTCATTCACACATTTGTCTATGCATTCATTCTGCATACATGGGCACGAGGCCTGCATCCTGGAATTGCTCTCAGAGACCTCGGGTCAGATCTGTTGCATGCCTTAACCAGGCAGGGAGAGGAGCCTTGCTCAGCTAACCAAGGAGAGGTAGTCAGTACACACCCGGCTTTTCTCCTCACTGCCTCATGATCTCAGCCTATCTCTCCCTTGGTTTCTCTTTTGCCAAGGTGGCACCCAGAGGGCTTCAGACACTTTAGCAGGGAATTCAAGGATGATAAAGAAACACACTGGAGCCCAGTCCCAGTGGCACATGGCTACTCAGGAGGCTGAGATCTGAGGATGTCAGCCCCTGGGCAGGAAAATCTGCAAGACTGATCTCCAATTAACTAATGTGGCTCAGAAGTGGTAGAGCACTTGAGCAGAGCTCAGGGACAGTGCCCAGGCCCTGAGTTCAAGCTCTATGACTAACAAAAATAAAGCAGAGCAAAAACATGCTAGAGAAAGCAAGGGAGCTTTCTGGTCAGGTTCCTGCTCTGTAGCCCTGACTCAGCCATTTAGCTTTTATTCCCTAAGGTCTGGCCCTATGCCCTTCTTTACTGGGCCATGTTTCACAATCAAGAGACCCCCCCACAAGCAGTTAGGACAAACTGTGGGTGTCAGGGGCCCTCACTCAAAGGAGCAGATTCTTCACATAGGGTGTCACTGGCTGTTTTCGTGAGTGGGATGTGTTCCAGAGTTAACTTTGGCCAGATTAGGATTCCCTAGATAACATGAAGATTAGGGACGTGTGCACGCGCACGTGTGCACCCACCTACATGCATGAATAGCCTCATCAGTGTCCGGATCTCTAAGAGATGAGGCCAGGGCAATCCCCATTGAGCCGTTAGGCCTCTGTCGCATGGTAGAGGGAGCCAGCCTAGACTGGTGGTCCCTTGGGGAGTTGAGCAGAAAGTGGGGAACCTCTGACCCATACCATGTGAAGTTCTGTCTTGAGAAACATCCTGCGACTGTAGTCTCAGTCATCTCCATGGACTTACTGAGTATGAAGCATCTTTGAACCAGTGGTCTCCAACGTAGGGGACACAAGAGGCAATGGTGAGCGAAAGAACATTCTAGAACCACTGCTCCCATTTCATCCTCTCTGAAAATTTCTGTTGTATGCAAGTTTAGTGATGTCTGCCACATGTCTAACTGCAGACAGTTACCCCGTGGTGAGAGAAGATGGTTGCTTCCCCTTCTTGAGGTTCAGAAAGGCTGATAAAGCACCCCCATGCTGTGGAGATCGCTGCTTTAAACCATGGCCTGCACTCTTTATGTTCAATCACTGTCTTTTTATTTTTATTTTTTTCAATTTGTTTCCCTCCCCCATGTGCTGACTTTTCTTTTGATTTTATTTATGTTTATGTTTAAGACATCCACACCTTCCTGTGCTAAAACCCTGAACCATAGGCCCTGCCTTAGCCCCAAACGCCCCACTCCTGGTAGCTCAGACCCTTTGATCAAACCCTCCAGCCCTGCCGTGTGCCCTGAGCCAGCCACATCTCCTAAACACGCCTCTCCTGTCACACCCCGAACTGCCAGTTCTGCATCAAAGGAGATGAAACTCAAGGTAAGGAAAGACCTGTCAGAAGCCGGCTACCCTGCTGTGGTGTTCAAATGTGCTTTTCCTTCAGAGAACCTGCTGACAGGGAAGTGCCAGGCAGATTCTGATGGTTCTCATTGACCAGGGGAGAGGGGGACGGGGGCTCTGAGCTCCTCTTCTCTTCCTTCTCCCCTCTTTCTCCACCCTGGAGACACCTGGGGATGCTAGTTTGAAAGTCTCTACTCTAGAGGGGCTCCCCGGCCTGGTTCCTTTGGTAACTAGAAATGACCCCCAGTTCACCCTAGCATGATTGCATAGCACCCCCTCCAGCCCTGCCAGCTCCCTCCCTCCTGAGCCATCTACTGAAGTTCATGTTATGTCTAGTGGTCATCTGTAGGCCCCCAACCAGCAGACAATGCCTGTGCTGGCACTGGCTCCCAGCCTTCCCCTGTTTACCACGAAGAGTTCTAAGCCCAGCTCAGGGGCCCCTGAGATGCCCCCACCCCCACCCCAGGCTGATGGGAAGACAATAAAAGACCTAGCACTGTCTAGCATTCTTGGTCAGGTTCAACAAATGGTGTCTCTCTCCAGGCCTTCTGGAAAGCACAGTCACAATCAGTGAGAAACATCCATAACTTGAGTTGGGAAAGCGAAGTCCTCAGGGACAGGTCTCCTAGGGTCACAGTCACACGGAGTGGATAATGACTCTGACCATGGCTCCAGAAGCTTTGTCGGACCATGAACGCACACAATTTCTCTGGGAGGAAATGGGAACCCGGGTGCTGGGCGTGTGGGCGGGGCCTCGGGCTGCCACTCACAGAGGCATCCAGGAGGCCGAGGCCACCTCCTGCCTTCCCCCCTTCCTGTCAAGGTGGGAAAATGGGGCTGGCCTCGCCTCAGTGACAGTCACCTTCCCCAAGGTGAAATTTGCTTTACCCTGATTCCATTTACAGGGAGCCGATGGGAAAACTGGAACAAAGATCGCCACCCCCCGGGGAGCAGCAACTCCAGGCCAGAAAGGCGCAGCCAATGCTACCAGGATTCCAGCCAAAACCACGCCCTCCCCAAAGACTCCGCCTGGCACTGGTAAGGGTGTTGTCTTGAGTCTTCACTGGAAGTTTCCAGAAAGTTTAGCCCTTAGCTCAGGAAGCTACTGACAATAACCTATGGCAGCTGACCAGCACTTTCACAGTTTGCCAAGAACTCAAATGTTCATTTTTTTTTTAATCCTTTAGCAACTTCCTGTGGTAGACATAGATTCCTCTCTTTTTGATCAGTGAGCACTTGCTTGGCTGATTCTACCCAGCTTATCTTAAGCCTTAGAAAGTGCAGTTGCATGACTAGTAAACGGGAGCTTCGGAGGCCCTAAGTCCAGGGTTCTGAATAGGCAGCTCTAGCATGGGGTGTTTTCAGGGCCACAATGGGGTGCGTGGCACTGCCTGATCTGAGGATATTAGGAAACTTCTGGCAAAATCAAGCGTCTTGGCCCCGCAGTGGCATGTGTGCTCATCAGCTGACTCCTGTGAGTAAAATGCAGCAGGGGTTGGAGGTCTGGTCAGGCTTAGTGCTATGAGGAACATAGGCCTCGTTAGGGCCAGGTGGGATGTGGAAGTGTCAGATGCCACACAACCCAGGTGTGACTGGCATCATCCGCTCTCTGGTGATCTCTAGGAGGGCTGGGGTCTGAGTGCAGGCCATGCTGGGGGCCTGACTTAGGACTCACTTATCTGGCTTGAGATGGCCACAGAGCCCGCCTTCTTCCTTTTTATTGTGGTTGATGGTGGTAATGGTAGTTGTGGTGGTAGTAGCCGGTGTAGGGCTTAAACTCAGAGCCTGGGCACTGTTCCTCCTGAGCTATTTTGCTCAAGGCTCTACCACTTTGAACCACAGAACCAATTCTGATTTTCGGGTGATTAATTGGAGATAAATGTCTCACAGACTTTCCTGCCCAGGCTGCCTTCCAATGGTGATCCTCTGAGCTCAGCCTTCTGAGTAGCTAGGATTACAGGCGTGAGCCACTGAAGCCCAGAGTCTGCCTTCTTCGGCTGCATGTGTTTGCCAAGTGTGCAAAGAGTGTAGGGTGGTGCCAAGACACTGCTGCTGATGAAGGGTGTTTGTTGTGTGTTCTCACCTAGTGTCTGGGGACCTGGTGTTTTGTTATATACTTGTGACCTGAGTGGCATCAATGGCATTTTGATTATTTGGCTATGCTTTTGATGCTGCTGCATCTCCCTTACCACTGTTGGAGATGACTCACACTTTGTTGTGACAGTGTGAGGCTGCAGCCTGCCTTACTCCTGAGGCTTCTCATCTGCTCTTAGCGCTGCCTGCAGGTGAGCAGATCTTCCCTGCTGGCCTTGCTTCCTGACTCTTGTGCCTGTGCCCTGCCTCCCTCTCTTATGCTAGGTGGGCCAGCATGAACTCACTGACCACCCCCATTAAACCTGATTATAACCGGGCTATCTGTGGGTTTTTCTTTTTAAGCTTCCAAGCAAGTGCAGAGAAAGCCACCCCCTGCAGAGACACGGTCCCTGAGAGGTAATTGTGGGCCTGCTTCCACAGCCCCTAGGCCTGTGTGCTGGGCTGCTTCTAGGGCTGGGAGGGACCCACACTTACCACTAGGCATTCCCCACTGATCCCTGGGGCACTGGAAACACACCCCTACTTCTCTTCTCACAGATGAGTCTGTCTGGTTGAACTCTTCAGTCTTGTGTGTTCTTTGCTTCAGGGACAAGGGCTGTGGGGAGTGTGGGGCAGGGCTTGTGTGCCTAAGGACATCTGAGGGTGTTTGAGGTTTGGAGCACGTTTAGGGTTTGGAAAATCCCCACTGAGAGAGAAGGTGTGTGTTTGTTTGGGGTATGGGGTCTTGTTCTGTTGCCCAGGCTGGTCTCTTACTCCTAGGCTGCTAGTAACTGAGACACCAGGGGTGCACTAACCATACCTGGCTTCCACTGCCATTTATTTTTCTTCATTTTTTGCCAGTCCTGGACCTTGAACTCTGGGCCTGGGCACTGCCCCTAAGCTCGTTTTGCTCAAGGCTAGTACTCTGCCACTTAAGCTACAGCACCACTTCCCACTCTTTCTGTGATTAATTGGAGGTAAGATGCTCATGGGCTCAGCATTGGGGGCTCACACCTATAATCTTACTGTTCAGGAGGCTGAGACCTGGAGATTACAGTTCAAAGCCAGCCTAGGCAGGAAAGCCCATGAGACTTCTTGTTGTTAGTCATGGGGTTTGAACTCCAGGCCTGGGCACTACCCCTGAGCTCTTTTGTTCAAGGCTAGTACCCTACCACTTTGAGCCACAGTGCCATTTTTTTGGTTTTCTGGCGGTTAATTGGAGTTAAGCATCTCATAAACTTTCCTGCCTAGGCTGTCTTTGAACTACAATCCTCAGAGCTCAGCCTCCTGAGTAGCTAGGATCACAGGTGTGAGCCACCAGTGCCCGGCGTCCCACTGACATTGAGCAACTTTTCTGTGAGTGTAGGCTCTGCACAGGACCCTGCTAAAACAGCCCATCTGTAAAACACCAACCTGCAGGCTCTAATCCCTCTCCCCAGTTTTCAAATGAGGACACCGGGCTTAGGGACAGTAATTGGCTTGCCCAAGGTCACTCTGCAAGTGAGTGGTGTCAGTGGATTACAGTGTCACCACCAAGCCCATTGCTGCCCTGTGTCCTGAAGACAGGAGGCAGAGGTTCCGCTTCCCCTGTGATCAAAGAGCATGACTGTTTTAGGGACATCAGCGACTGGAAAATTCCACCTCTCACCTCTGTGCTGCTCACTCTTGACAGAGAGGTCTCAGATAGGCTGCAAGTGAAAGCGTTCCTTACAGGCTTCCAGACGCTGGGGTGGGGAGCTTGAGAAAAAACCAGTTCTGCAGGCCCCATTCTGAAAAACCACTCTATCAGATCTGGACAGTGCCCATACATCTGCATTTTCAAGTCCCACTTCCTCCTCAACAGCTCCAGAGATATCATACACACACAGACACAGACACAGACACAGACACACACACACACACACACACACACACACACACACACACACCTCTCTTCTGGAGATTCTGACACTGGGGTTCATAGTCCCCAGTTTTAGAAAGGCGGAGGCATGAGGCAGGAATGGGACCTGTTGGTGAGAGGATGTCCCCGCAGCTCCCGAGGCTGGTGAGTGAGAAGGTACGAGGGTAATAGCTGCAGGGGAAGGTACGAGGGTAATAGCTGCAGGGAAGGGCATTCTGAGGAAGGGAACAGCTAGGAGGATTCAGTTGTAGGAAGCTACGTGGGGCCTGCAGAGGTGGCTCAGGGGGTTCTGAATCCCAGCTTCCAGAGAGGAACCAAGAAGGGCGGAGAGAGGCAGAGAGCAGACACATCCATCCCTCCATCGTCCTTCCTCAGAGTGAAGGTCGTGCACAGGGAGTTGTGCCAAGCCGATTCCCACCCACCATCCTCCCCAGCTGCACTCCCTGTGGGCCCTCTAGCACTTCTCCATTCACCTTGAGGCCTCTGAGCCCAGGAGAGAAGTTGACTGGCCTAGTGGGGGCCCATCTCTTGCCCCAGGGACAGTGGGGCAGTTTGTCTCTGTGATGGGGCACTCTGTGGCTTTGTGGGAATAGACTCCAGAGCTTCCCATGTGAGCTGTGGACCTCACTCCCACCCATCTGCTCTGTCCTCAGCCTGGCAGTGGACCCCCCAGGATGGAAGTCCCCCCCCCTGCCCGGCCACTACAGACCTCCCCCTCCCCAACCTGCCTAGGCTCACCCCTTCCTTTCCCCTCCAGGTGAATCGGCAAAATCTGGGGATCGCAGTGGCTACAGCAGCCCCGGCTCCCCAGGGACTCCAGGCAGCCGCTCGCGCACCCCATCTCTGCCAACTCCACCCACCCGGGAGCCCAAGAAGGTGGCTGTGGTTCGCACTCCCCCAAAGTCGCCATCTTCCACCAAGAGCCGCCTGCAGACTGCCCCGGTGCCCATGCCAGACCTGAAGAACGTCAGGTCCAAGATTGGCTCCACTGAAAACCTGAAGCACCAGCCAGGCGGTGGGAAGGTAAGGGCTGCACGTCCCAAGCCTGAGCAGGCCCCACCTGGGCAGAACTTAACATAGTTTCAACATTTCCACAAAAACAATTTTCTGTGTCTGAACGTGGAGGTGGCCTGGTTGACTGAGCAGATAAAACCAAAGTCTCTTCCTCTGAGAGTGTCCAGGCTGGAGGCAGGACAACCTGCCGACCCCAGGGCAACAGAAAATTTTGCCCTATGGGAGCCCAAAGCCCTCAGGGCTGCACTATTCTAGACAGCCACAAGATGGCGATCCATCCATCCATCCATTCTTGGACAGGCATCCATCCATTCTTGAACACACCCTTAGTGGAAGTTGCTTCCTGTTCTGCAATTGTGTTGATAGGATTTCTTTGCTTTAAATCTTCCTTTCCTTCTCTCACCACTGTTATCTTTCTCTTTTCCTGCTCATCTTCTTCTGATCTATATCTCCATGTCACCCTTTTAAAGCATTTGAAATGTACCTGCCTAGTAAGTAAGTAGAGTCCTGTATTCAACCCCCAGTACTACCAAAAAAAAAAAACCCCACACAAACAAACAACAACAACAACAAAAAAAAACCCCACTTAGTGCATTCTGTTCAGTTCATTAGCAGTGTCTCAGATGTTACTTTTTTAAAGCATACATAGCCAGGCACTGGTGACTCACACTGGTGCTACTCAGGAGGCTGAGATCTGTGGATCGAGGTTTCAAAGCCAGCCCAAGCAGGAAAGTCCGTGAGACTCTTATCTCCAATAAACTACTCAGAAAAAGCCAGAAGTGGTGCTGTGGCTCAAGGGGTAGAGTGCTAGCCTTGAGCACAGACAGACTCAGGGGCAGAGCCCAGGCCCTTAGTTCAAACCTCAGGACCACTAAAACACACACACACACACACACACACACACACACACACACACACACGTGTGTGCAATAAATGAAGTGAATTTGAACCTGGGGTAGTTTCCATCTCCTTCAGGATCAGGCTGGGACTCGGGTACTTGGGCTGAAGTGTCAGACACTGCGGTGAGCAGAGCCAGGCTGGACACTGCCTCGGACAGCCCTGTCCCCCTAAGACTCCTCCCCAGCATTCTCTCTGCTGCATGTCTATGCTTCTGAAAAATATTGTTGATGAAATTGATCTTAAAGGAGCAGTCCCAGTCCTAAAGAGGATCTTCCTGTTAATGAATCTCTTTGGCAGTTGACCTGACAGGACACAGGGTTTTCTGTGCTATCTAGACCACCTTGGGTTTAAGACAAGGCTTGCTGTGGATGTCTGCTGACTGCTCTGGGTTAGTGTACTGCCAGGGTGTTGCTGACTGACACTGTGAGGCCAAGCCCAGCAAGCACGAGACAATGATGGCTTAGTCTGAGCCAGACTGGAGTCAGAGAGGCTGGCTGGGGGGGCTGGAAGCCTGAGAGCAAGGCAGAAGCCATCTGGAGAGGTCTGAACCCAGATAGAGCCAGATCAAGGCCTAGTGAAGGATTGGGAGAATTTGGGGTTCCTTAGGAAATGGGTTAAACCAAAGTGGATCCATCTTAGCCCCAGCCCACTAGTATCTCTTCTGGGGTCAATCCTTTACAACACTCATTTCTCTCCTGACTAGAAGTCACTCAGATAAAAAATTGGGGATCCCTTAGTCGGGCACTGGCAGCCAATGCCTATAATCCTTGCAGCTCAGGAGACTGATATCAGAGGATAGCGATTCAAAGCCAGCCCAGGCAGAAAAGTTCCCATGAGACTCATCTCCAATAGAAATCGCTCAAAAATCAGAAGTGGCACTGTGGCTCAAGTGGTAGAGTGCTAGCCTTGAGCAAAAGAGCTCAAGGACAGTGCCCAGGCCCTGAGTTCAAGCCCCAAGATGGACAAAAAGAAAAATAAAATATTGGAGCTCCCAAAACACTCTTCTCCCCTGATGGGTATTCCCTGTGTCTGGCCAGGGCTGAGATTCAATAATCTTACATGTTGCTTTAACTGAGAAATTTCAGGATTGCAATTTCATAATGCCAACCATCATCCTCTTCTCTGCTTTCTGTAAATCTGAGATTCTCTAAAGGATGTTGACTTAATGTGACAACTGACGGTCATTCACATCTGCTTTGTAAATATCCTTATGTCTGTTGCCAAACCCCACAAAAGCTTCTTGCCTTTTCTGTGGGGTTGGAACAAGAAAAAAAACACATTGGGGAAAATTTTTCTTAATGTACATTACAGACCTTGTGTTATTGCTTAATGACCCCTGATTAATTTGATTAGTTTCTTTTATGTGTTAGTGCAGAAAATAAGGTTATCGTCCTTTGAGAAACTGGAAAGTTTTCTTTGTCAAATAAGAAGGGTTATGTAACCCATCATTTTTCTTTTTTCTTTTTCTTTTTTTTTTTGCCTTGGCTTCCAGGAAGCTCAGGGCTAAATATAACATTCAGTCTTATACTTGTCAATCTCAATAGCCTTCCTTTATTTTTACATTTTGCTTTTTAAGTTTTTCTTGTTTTGTTATCACCCATCCAAGTACTCACCAGGCCTGACCCTCCTTAGATTCTGAGATCAGGTGAGATTGGGTGTGTTCAGGATAGTATAGCTGTAGATACTTGTTTTATTATCAGATGGAATGTGTGGGTTTTTTTTTTTTTTTCATTTAAAAAAAATTCTTTGGTACCAAAGCCTTACACACTCTCACTCACCTTTCTTGTTCATGGCTGGTGCACTACCATTGGAACCATGCTTCTAGTCTGGCATTTTGCTGGTTAATTGGAGATAGAGTCTCTTGGACTTTCCTGCCTGGGCTAGCTTAGAACTGCAATCCTCCAGGTCTCAGCCTTCTGAGTAGCCAGGTGAGCCATTGTGAGCTTTGTAATTCTAAACTGCTTCTGTTCTTTCCTGAAAGCTGGCAGATCTGCTTCTGGGATTTATCCAAGAAGAAGTTGTGAACAGAAAATGACTCCATGGGCTGGGGTCCACAACTCAGTACAAAAAAATAAAGAAAGGGGGAAGTGGAGGAGGGAGGGAAGGGAAGGGAAAGGAAAGGAGGGAAAAGGAAGTAAAAGAGAGAGGGAAGGAAGGAAGGAGAGGGAGAAAGAAAGGAAGAAAACAAGAGATAAAGAAAGAAAAAGAGGGGGCTGGGTAGGTAGCTCAGCGATAGAGTGCATGCCTTGCAAGCATGAGGCCCTGGGTTGGATTCCTCAGCACCACATAAACAGAAAAAGCCAGAAGTGGCACTGTGGCTCCAGTGGTAGAGCGCTAGCCTTGAGCTAAAGAGCTGGGGGACAGTGCCCAGGCCCAGAGTTCAAGCCCCACGACCAAAAAGAGAGAAAGAAAAAGAGAAAGAGGAAAAAGGGGGAAAGGGAGAAGAGATTCCCACGTGAGACTGTTAAAATCACCTGAGGGTAAGCTGGATGGGAATGGCTCAGCCTGTAATCTTAGCTACTCAGAAAGCTGAGATCTGAGAATCATGGCTCTAAGCCAGTCGGGGCAGTAAAGTCCACGAGATTCTTATCTCCAGTTAAATACCAAAAAGCCAGACATTGGAGCTGTAGCTCAGGTGGTAAAGAGCTAGCCTTGAGCAAAACAGTTCAGGGACAGCACCCACGACCTGAATTCAAGCCCCAGGCACACACACACACACACACACACACACAAAGAACCAGTGTGGGAAAGGCCTCCTCGCCCCTGCCCAACCTTGGCTGAGCTCTGTCCCAGTGACTGACTACTCATCTCTGCCAGGAGAGAAGTTCTGGGTCGGCCAGGAGTCAGTATTGTTTTTATTTGGTTTATGAGGCAATACCTTGAGGTCATCCCAGGCAAAGCTTGGTTGTCCTCAATGGCTGCAGGGACATCCAATTCTGGGTTCTAATGTGATGTCTACCACTGCCCTACTGAAGTTGCTGAGCCTCTAGGCCTCAGATGGCCTCCGTGGCTGTGAAAAAGGTGGGCCAGAGGCGTGGCATGGACTTCTATCTCTAGCCGCCTCTGAACTTCCATTTAGACAGAGATGTCACTAAGGAAGAATTTCAGCTTTTAAAAATGTCAACATTGGCCAGGCACCAATGGCTTATGCCTATAATCCTAGGTACTTAGGAGGCTGAGAGCTGAGAAGCAAGGTTCAAAGCCAGCCTGGGTAGAAAAGTCCATAAGACTCTTAACTCCAATTAACCAGCAAAAAGCTGGCAGTAGAGCTGTGGCTTAAGCAGCAGAGCACGAGTCTACCAGGCCCTACAGTTAAAGCCCCAGGAATGGCACCAAAAAAAAAAGTAACCATTTGTATGTTAAATACTACACACACACACACACACACACACACACACACACACACACACACACACACACACACACACACACACACACACACACACACACACACCATACCTGCCAACAACAAGGGAACAAAAGAAGCAATTTCAGAGTGCCTTCAGAAATACAAAAACAACAGTGCAAAGAAACAAAGAAGAAGCAATTTTAGTAAGGAAGAAATTCAGGCGGAGCCATCAGTGCAGCTCTGTTTTTTGGTCAAAGAAATAAACAATTGTTATGACTTTGCATTCTGCTTACAAACTGGAGCTATTCCCAAGTGACCGCGGTAACAGTTCTCACTGTCCAGTGTGTCACGGCAGGCACTGCCTTTGGGGTGTCATCTCTCCAAGGCCCTAGGAACTCAATTCTGCCATCCACACATTTTAGCTTACTCAGGGCCTTGCACTTGCCAGGCAAGTGCTCTTCCACTGAGCTAAATCCCCACTCCCCTGCTTATTATTCAAGATGAAAGATGAATGGCTGAGGCTGAGATCAACCCCCAAGTTTTTTGACTCCTAGCCTTCCCTTGGAAAGTGAATCCCCCCCTCCCGCCCCCAATCAAGTGCATTAGTAAAAGCAGGCTTTCTAAGTAGCCAGTGGCGGTGGTAATGTCGTCACCTGTCTGCTCTCAAGCCAACCCCTTTAGAAGGCCATTTGGAGAACTGTGTTGAGAGCTTTGAGAATATTTTTAACCTTGGCCCAGGAATTCTATTTCCAGGGCCCTCTGCTAGAAAAATAATTTATACTGTTAAAAAAAAAATTCCTCTTGCAGAAAGATGTTCGTGGGAGGCTATGGATGCTGTTTAAAATGGAATTGATGCAACAATTTGGCAACAAAAGGAACAATTCATGGAGTGACATAGGACATGCTGTTAAAAGGAACATGCTATGAGAGGCAAAGGTGGGAGGATCACAAGTTCAAGGCTAGCCTAAGCTATGCTACATAACCAGACTGTGTCTCAAAAGCAAAATCAAAATGATGATGATGATGATGATGATGATGATGATGATGATGATGACGACGACATTTAGCCAAGTGTGGAGGTTTATATCTGTTATTTCTAGCTAGTTAGGAAGCTGAAGTGGCTAGATCACTTGAGCCCCTAGGCAACATAGTAAGACCTCTCAAAGAGAAAAAGGCTGGGTGCCAGTGGTGAATACCCATAATCCCAGCTATGCAGGAAACTGAGATCTCAGGATCAAAGTGCAAAGCCAGTGCAGGCAAGAAAGTCCGTGAGACTCTTATCTCCAATTAAGCACATGCGTGTGCGCGAGTGTGCATACACACACACACACACTCACACAAAACAAAGAAAAGAGGGCTGGGAAGGTGGCTCAGTGGTAGAGTGCTTGCCTCATATGCATGAGGCTCTGGGTTCTATTCCTCAGCACCACATAAGCAGAAAAAGCCAGAAGTGGTGCCGTGGCTCAAGTGGTAGAGCACTAGCCTTGAGCTGAAGAGTTGAGGACAGCACCCAGGCCCAGAATTCAGGCCCCATGACTGACAAGAAAAAAAGAAAAAGAAAAGGGGGAAAAAAAAAACATATGGAAGTGGAACTATGTCTCAAGTGGTAAAGCACTAGCTTTGAGCAAAAAAGTTCAAACACTAGTAAAGGTGCACGAGAGAGAGAGAGAGAACGAGAACGCAGGTATTCAGGGCTGGGAATGTGGCTCTAGTGGTAGAATACCTACCTAGAAAGTATAGCAAGGCCTTGAGTTCAAACCCTAGTACCACCAAAAAAAAAAGAAAGCAGATATATAATAATTCTGCCATGTATGTGTACATGGTGACAGTTATATACAATGGGACTTCAAGGAAATAGATCAAAACTCAACAGTGATTGTAGTAGGTTGGTAAGAAAACTGTTCTCTTGCCAAGTATGGTAGCTCATGTCTGTAAATGCAGTACTGGGGAGATTGAGACAGGAGACGCTCTATTTTGAAGCCAGCTTAGGCTACAGTGAGACCCTATGTCAAAAAGAATTTTTTTAACTTGTTTTTTTTAATTTCTGTTTTCACCATCATAATGCCATATTTTCCAATTAAAAGCACAGTTTTTTAAAAAATATATATATATATGAAAATGAAGCCAGGCACTGGTGGCTCACAACTGTAATAGTAGCTCTTCTCAGGAGGCTGAGATCTGAGGATTGAGGATCAAAGCCAGCCAGGGCAGGAAAGTCCATGAGACTCTTTATCTCCAGTTAACCACCAGAAAAACTGGAAATGGTATTGTGGCTCCAAATGGTAGAATGCTAGCCTTTAGCAAAAGAGCTTGGAAATAGCACACAGGCCCTGAGTTCAAGCCCCATGATTGACTAAATAAATAAATGAAAAGGTGGGTTAGAAATGTGACTCTGATTCCCAGGTGGTAATAGTCAGACGAGTAAAATAAAGGAAAAGAACAAGATGAGTCAGAAGCTGGACTGGGGTTTTCTTTCCAGGCAGTTCTCAACCCGGCCCAGGCCATCTCAAATCTTCACCCACTGCTCACAAAGGTGCCGATGTTTGCGAAACTGAAACCTCAGTTGGGTCGTATTGGCACTGCTGACTCTTAATTAGAAACTCTGGCTGGTAATTCTTTCCATCTGTGATTAATAAAAGCCAGGCCCACTCTTTCCATCCACGGAGCCGCGTGGGGTGGAAGATGTCATCCTGCTCCAGCTGACAAACGTAGACATTTCCAGCTTCTTTCCACACACCAGGTTGCTTGTTTCATAGCTGATAGGCAAGTAAAAACTGTTCCTCACTTAAACATTGATATCCCTACACCTTCTCCCTGCTTCCTGGAGAGAGAAAAACTAGAGTTCATCAGCAGTGCCGACCAGGCCCACATGGGTTCACAGAGAATGGGGCTCTGCTTCCTTTGAGGGCCTCCTGGAATGGAGGAAGAGGGATGGGTGGGTGTAAAGGAGCAGGGTGCTTACCCCACCTTCCAGGAAACAGAACCTCTATAAGAGAAGAAACTAGCTGGGCACTGGTGGCTCACACCTGTAATCTGAGCTACCCAGGAGGCTAAGATCTGAGGGTCACAGTTGAAAGCCAGGCCAGGCAGGAAATCTTTGAAACTCTTATCTCCAATTAATCATCAGAAAACTGGAAATGGCATTGTGGCTCAAAGTGGTAGAGTGCTAGCCTTGAGCATAAGAGCTCAAGGAGAGTGCCCGGGTCCTGAGTTCAAGTCCCATGACCAACCCAAAAAAGAGCAGAAATGATCTTTTTTCTTTCTCTTTTTAAAATTTTGATCCAAGACTGGAACTCCAACTTGGTACCTCATACTTTTGCTCATTGGCTGACATTCTACTAACTGAGCTATGCCTCCATCCCCAAGAAATTATCTTCTCTGCAAAGCCATCAACGTGCATTCCACAAGGCTGGGGGTTCTCAACCCTGGCGGAACTTTTTGGAAGAACAGCAACTTAGATTCTAATCTGTCCTCAGTCAGCGGTGGAAGGAGTGTGGGGTTTTCTTTCCAAGAAAATCTACAGGTGTTTTCAGTGCCCATTAGTCCCCTGAGAATGTTCCCATGGTCTTGTCAGGGTTCGAGCATGAGGACCCCGGGGGACTCTGCTTGCTCATAGGTTTGTGTCATGGGGCACTTTTCCCACTCCATCCCAACCTGGTACGCGCCCATCTCTGACTTACAGGTGTGCTGAGACCTCCCTCATCACAAACCTTTGGCAAAGTGAACAGTTGCCTTCTGAGGGTCTGTTCCGTAGCCTCCGTGTCAAACCTCAAGTTCTGATGACTTTTCTTCCTTTCCTCCTGAAGATCCTTCCCTTCACCCCGTATCAGATGGCCTGTGCCCACGGCTCACTGCCCAGGGCCTGCCCCACCCCAGGTCAGGAAGCCCAAGTGGGCGCAGAGTGGATCTGGGTGTGGTTGTCACTCATCCTTTTTTCTGGCTATCAAAGGTGCAGATAATTAATAAGAAGCTGGATCTTAGCAACGTCCAGTCCAAGTGTGGCTCAAAGGACAATATCAAACACGTCCCGGGCGGCGGCAGTGTGAGTACTGGCTCACTCTCCATCCTCGTGCTGCAGTCTCCGCTTTGGGAAGAGGCAGAAGTGTGTAGACGTGCGAGACATTGCATAGAATAAATCTTCTCAGGCTCAGGACCTCCCCATGTCCATAGGAAGAGAGTTTCCCCCCCTCCCCTGCCCACACGGGGTCCAAGGTTCCCAGATTCTGCCCCCTCCCCCATGCTCTGGGAGCATGCGCTTGCTGGGGCAGAATAATCAAGATGATTGGTCCTCTCTGGGAATGAGAGTCCTCCTGGCCCAACCCCAGGGTCCTTGTTTTACCAGTGGTGGACCACTCACGGCCCAGCACCTGTTCTCAGGAGCTGCACAGTCCATCTGAAGTTGGGCTGGAGACAGTGGCACCTGAGATCAGCTCCTCCCCATTATCTGGCAGGCTACTTTAGATGGCTCCACGGTGGGCAGGTGGTGAGTGAATGTAGAGGCCTGACCATCCCACCTCAAAGGCAGGATTGCCTAGTTGCCACTGCACTGGAGGAGGGCTTCCTTAAGGCAGGTGTACCCAAGGGCAGTCTCCAGATGCAAACAGCCACACACAAGTGCCACTGGTGATGCTTGTCTTTGGGCTCTTTATTGAAGGACTGCCTTTGGCCCTTCTAAATTGTGTACCCAGGGACCCCCTGTGTCCTAAAGTGTGTGTCCCTGTGAGGTAATGGGCTTGGATAGCCACTTCCCATCTGCTGCCTTGATGAGCTTAGGGACACCTTGCTCCTCCTGGCTGGCCGGTGCTCACTAGACAGTGCTCACACCCTTAGGCTTCTCTCAGCAAAATCCTCATGCCCGGCTCTCTTGGTCAGCAGGAGATCCTTGAGAGCGCTGCTGTGGGGTGAGCTCCCTCTCTCTGGAAACCACACGTCATGCCTCCAGGCCCAGAGGGTTTATTCTTGCAATGTACTGCTGCCTTGCCGCTGAGCCCTGAGCCCCCACTGCCTTCCGCCACCGAGGCCTCTGGCTGGGCTGCTGCTTGAGCTTCACTCACTGACGCTTTCTCACTGTGTCTGCTGCTGAGTGTCTCTCCACCCCTCCCCTTGAGCGCTTGTCCACCCCCACTTGATCCTGCCCCACTGGCCGCCTCTTGTCTGTGGGCACACCTGTGGTTGCTGTTTGGAGGTATTCTGCCCACTCTGGCCATGGGAGGGGAGGCCATGTGCTTTCTGCAGCTTAACTGCTGTATGGTCTGCTGACTGGGCAGTGAGTCCAACCTCCTCCTTCAGAGAAGGATGGGAGGACAGAGCACAGGACAGTGTGACCACTGCCCCTGTGACAATGTGTAGCTGACAAAGCTACAGAGCCCAGGACACCAGGGGCTTCCTGCAACATGTCCTGCTCTGCGCCAGCCTGGGGGCTAGCTTATGACCTTGCCTAGAGCCACCAAGGCAGCCTGCCTGGGCTGACCTGAGGCATTGTCCTTGGCCAGTGGTCACTGCTGAATGTAGGAAGACATGGCATTTTGGGGTGCTGGATCCCTGCCCTCCCCAGCGTGGAGGGGCTTCCCAGCAGGCCAGCCTCATTCCTTCATCTCGCAATGTTCCAGCCTACTGGCTGGGTTTCTCCCTACTCCTATGGCTGCTTTCCTCCCTCCCCCAGGGCCCACTGTCCTCCATCTTTTTCTCTTCTTGCCATCGCCTGCCCCTGCTATCTCCTAGTTCTCTCACAAGTGGCCCCTTCCAAGGTAGGGGGAAAAGAATGATGCCCTGGTCACAAAGGCAGGAGATGCCCCTGCCCCAGACTCCCATCCACGCCAGCCCCAGAGCTCACAGCACCTCCCGAGCCTGTTTGCAGGCAGTCCTGCAAATTGCCTCCCCCCGCCAGGTACCGGTGGCTCACACCTGTAATCCTAGCTACTCAGGAGGCTGAGATCTGAGGATCACGGTTCAAACCAGCCTGGGCAGGAAAGTCCATGAGATTCTTATTTTCAGTAAACCACCAGGAAATGGGAAGTGGCGCTGTGGCTCAAGCGGTAGAGTGCTAGCCTTGAGCTGAAGAGCTGAGGCACAGCACCCAGGCCCAGGGTTCAAGCCCCACAACTGACAAAAAAAAATGCCCCCTCCACCCCCATCCTGCCCAGATGTAGGCAGGCACCTGCACAGTGACACATAGGTCACACTCCTGTCTGTCAACAAATAGCAGGAGCCAGCATGACCATGCCCTAAAATAATGCGGAAGCCCTCCATTTAGACACAAGTAGAAATTCCTCCTCCTTTCTGCTGGCCTCCATGAGCCCATTCTCACATGAGGTCCCCCTCTTTCCCTTCACGGTCACCTCTAGGTGACCTCACACAGGCTTGCTGTGGCTGGCTCCTGGGCTTCTGAGAGGCGTCAGTCAGTGGCCAGACGTCTAGGACCCTCCTGGCAATGGTTTTGTACAGACCCTGTCCTCTATCAGCCTCCCCGCAGGAGAGCTGATTCCCCAGGGAAGGGGGAGCATGTGACCAGGCTACATGCAGGACCCTTGGGCCAGCCTTGACTCTCAGAGCCAGCCCAGAGGCCTCCTGGAGCATCCTTGTCTGCTCCCCCTGGGTTTCTGCTGTGCACCTGCCCTGCCTGCTGGTGTCGCTTCACTCCTCTGGGTAGAGGCTGAAATGCCCAGGCTAAGCCAGGTGGGTTAATGCTGAGTCGCAGAGCCTGCTGGGTCTTGCTTGCCGAGTGTCTCTGTTCTCGTGTGGGTCCGGGGCTGTGGAAGCTTCCTGGATAGAGCCCACCCATCTGTACCCAGCTTCTACCCTTGGAGGCCCCACGGCTGCCTTGCTCTCGCTCTTCCCAGGACTTTGTTCAAAGGCTGCACGGACTGAGCACTCCTTCCTGTGTCTTCATGGAACGTGAGCTGTCAGTCTGTCCACAAAGGGACTACCATGTTTACATTGAAGTGTTTGCTAACAGAACGGCACTGCACCATGACCGAGTGTCCTGCTTGTCCCACAGTCCCACAGTCATTCTGTGATGACCCAGCTCCCCGGGGGCCAGGTCAGCTGAATTTAACAACAATGCATTTTTTCACCCTGACTGGGACACTGGGATGTCTTCTTCCTGGCCTGACTCACACAGCTGCTTCTCATTGTGTTACACCCACAGTAAAAAAATCCCACTTTATTTTCTCTCTCTTTCTCTCTCTCTGTCTCTCTCTTTCTCTCCCTCCCTCCCTCCCTCCCATCTATCTATATGTCACTTTCATTCTCTTTCATCTCCAGGTGCAAATAGTCTACAAACCAGTGGACCTGAGCAAGGTGACCTCCAAATGTGGCTCATTAGGCAACATTCATCATAAACCAGGTAGCCCTTGGGGAAGGCCAGGATTGGGACAGAAAGGTGCTGGGTGGGCAGGGTAGGCTCCCTCCTTCAAGAGATGATGTTGAGCATGGGACTGGGTGGGGGCAGGACGGGGGCTGGGGGGACATGGCTGCCCCAGCTCACTACTGAGCATTTCCTGTCATCTCACAGGAGGTATGGAGGGGAAATGCTGGCCCCAGACCCTAACCCATCACTCTCCAGAAGACTGTACTCAGGGCTTCTAGGGCTGGCCTTGGGTCTTATTTGTTCGCCAAAGCCAAATATGTGGATGTCTCCAACCAGTACTGGGGATACTTCACAAGCTGCTCTACAGTATGAGACCTGAGACCCTGGTCATGGCCTTGCTGTGATTTTGGTTAAACAGAAGAGGAGGCTACTAGAGCTCTTGTCAGCCACTTACCCTTCCACCCCCCACCATCCTTCCAGTCACCATCTTTCTGCAGTGAGGGAACCTTCATCTGCACTGTCCCTGTGGCTGCTAACCACACGTGTCTGGCAAGCACTAGAAACGTGGCCAGTGCAGTAGAAGAGCTGTACTGTTATTTCATTACAAGTAAATGGTCTAGGGGTGTGGCTCAAGTGGTAGAGCAGCACCGGCCTAGCAAGAATGAGGCTTCATGGTTCAAACTCCAGTACTGTCCTCCCCCCACCGTGGACAGTGGCTGCCATATTGGACAGCATAAGTAGAGATTCTGAGTCCCAACTTAACAGGCCAGAGCAAGAACTTGCACCTCAGTTAGGCCCTATTCAGGGTAGAGGTTTTTACTGAAACCATCCATCGCTGTGAAGGAGCAGGCCATCAGACCAGCAGCCCGGCATGGTGGTGCCGTCTTAGCCCTTGGGAGTAGAGGCAATATTGCAAATCCGAGGTCAGCCTGGACTACATTGCAAGACCATGTCACCTGGTGTCACCCTCCAGAGCACCTGTGCCCCCAGCAGCCCCTGGCACTTTGCTCTGCAGGCTGCAGAACTTGTGTGATGGACATTAAGTTTACTACGCCACAGAAGATGTGATGTGGCGCTCTGTGTGTGTGTGTGTGTGTGTGTGTGTTGTGTTTCAGGAGGTGGGCAGGTGGAAGTAAAGTCTGAAAAGCTGGATTTCAAGGACCGAGTCCAGTCGAAGATCGGCTCTCTGGATAATATCACTCATGTTCCTGGAGGAGGGAATAAGAAGGTAAAGGGCGGGGGGGGGGGGCCTGGGGGAGGACACACTCAGATATGGGTATTAATGAAGTGGACAAGGAGGGTTCACTTTTCCAAAGGAGGAATGTCTGAATGGACTGGCTTGCTCCGCATTCTCAGCCACACCCAGCATCAGCCCTGGTGTTCCACAGACATCTCCTGGGAACAGACCTTCATTTGCATTTGGTTAGGATGCAATTAGAACAAAGCAAAGATGCCTCAGTCCCTGCCTGTCAGCTACTGGACCTGGGGGTTGCCAGCTCTTTCTAGTCTTTGGGCAGGGGAGACCAGAGTACACTGAAAGTAGCAGCTTGCTCCCACTCCCTCTAGGCCAGAGAGGGGCTTGATTTTTTTTCCCCCCCTGGTCATGGGGCCTGAACTCTGGGCCTGGGCGCTGTCCCTCAGCTCTTCAGCTCAAGGCTAGCACTCTACCACTTGAGCCATGGCACCACTTCCAGCTTTTTCTTCTTATGTGGTGCTGAGGAATCGAACCCAGGGCCTCACACATGTGAGGCAGGCACTCTACCACTGAACCACCTTCCCAGCCCCTGATTTTTTTTTTCTCTCTTCTGCATAAATGCAGCCAGGGTGCCCCACCCATGCCTGCCTGCCTGCCTGCTTGGAAGTTCTGTAGAACGCTCCCTTACTAGCCTTGGGCCAAGTTAAAGTTGGCTGGGGACTAACAGAGGGAGAAGGAATGTCCCAGGAGTGTTAAATCAGAGCAAGCATACATGAGGCAGGGCACCACCCAAGGTGGCGCAGCTGGCTGGACGAGGCAGTGGCTGGCTTTCCGTGCTGGATGACACGGGGGAGTCCCCTACCCTGGCCAGTCGTCACACGTCCCCTGCCTGCCTCCACAGCCCCAGTGCCTCTGCCTCTGCCTGTGCACGTAAGAACTTGCCCATCTGACGTCTGTGCAAATGTCCCAGGGCATCATTTAGCGGAGAGAAACTTGCCAAGTGGCCATCCAACCTGGTGCCCTTGGCACTGAGGGGAGCAGAAGGGCCCCAACATGGCTTCACAGCCTCTGGCTCCCCAGGGACCCCCCCCCCCTCTGGTTTCTAGAAGCCCAAGGCCAATTTCATGTGGAGCAGAAGTTTCCACCACAGCCCCACATAGGAGCCCTTAGTACCTGGCTGTCAGGAGCAGAAAGCCAGATAAAAGGCTATGTGCCTGAGGGGCACAGGCCAGGACCCTGTGCTCTGAAGGGTTGGTGATAATTCTCTGCCTAAAGGCCAGGGTTCCACTATTTTCTTCCATCACCCACCCAAGGAGGCTGGGCCTCACAATCCTGGGGCATTTTTAATAAAACCCCAGGCCTGGCCCCACTCCAGTGTGACCAGTCACTGCAGTGACTTGGTGGGACTGGGGCAGGCCAGGGCCTTGGAGATTCTCTGTGTCAGGAAAGGCATCTGCTATACTGGGCCCACATGGCCAAGGAAGCTTCTTGGGGTACAGCTCTAGGTGGGATGGAGGCAGAATCTTCAGATCCTCAGCCTGGTGGTCTTCAAAGAACAAGATAGAAAGCCCTAAGAACTCCAATCAGAGCCGCAATGAAGTCCAAGCTTCTTGGATCCTCTGCTTCTATCTCATCTTTGTGGTGGCCTCAAATTCAGTCCTCCATTTCCCAAGTTCAAAGAGCACAAGCAGTGGGCCACAGCTTTGGCTATTCCAGGAATCTCGCTTTATTCTCTGTTGTTGTTGTTGCTGTTGTCATTGTCATCGTTGGTTGTGGGGCTTAAACTCAGGACCTGGGCACTGTCCCTGAGCTCTGGTGCTCAAGCCTAGTGCTCTACCACTTTGAGTCACAGTGCCACTTCCTGTTTTTGAGTGGTTAATTGGAGATAAGTTGGGACTTTTCTGCCTGGGTTGGCTTGGAACCACAATCCTTAGATCTCAGCCTCTTGAGTAGCTAAGATTACAGGTGTGAGCCACCAGCACCAGGCTATTGCTTTAATCTTACGAAACAAAGTTGTTTTTTTTTTTTAAAAAAAACCATTAACATAAATACTCTCAATAATTCTCTCAAACAGCCTTTCAAGTACAGCAATACAGAAAGTGCCTCTTTTTTAAAAAGTGACCGCTCCTCCCAAAAAGAACATGCATGTAGTCTGGGTTTTCTCTGTCCACATTCAAGGCCTTGAGCAGAGGCTGTTCATCTGAGGTCCTCCGAGCCCTGAGGTTGTGTGGGAAAATGGCATTGCAATGTGTGTGTGAGTGTGGTCACACACATTTTTCTGGCTTCATCAGATGCTCAAATTGCCTAGGATCCAAAATGAGATAGAGAATTCCTGTGTCTGCGTCCATGGGTTAATCAGTAGAGTGGTATACACACATACCCCCAGCTAATGCTTTCTACTCTGGAATTTCCCAGCATCCTTTAGGACTCTTGGCTAAATCTCTGTCCCTTTAAGAAGGGCTACATTGTATCACAGTTAACACCTGCCAATGCTGGGTGCAATTTCTGTCACCTGCAGATTATCAACCACTGACAAAAGAGAGGAAATGTGTGACTCATGGATGGCACTGGTGGCTGTGGAGACAACCTTTGATCCTTTTGTGTGTATGTGGCGGGGTGGGGGTTGAACTCAGTCTTGTGTTTGCTAGGCAAGTGTTCTGTCCCTTGAGCTGTGCTCCCAACCACCGGCACTGTCATCTTTTGCAGTGATCTTTAACATGTTTGGTTGCAAGTTGATGATAATCTGTGAGGTTGGTGTGGAACTCAGTGCAGAAGTATGCTTAATCCTAGGTTCAATCTCTCTCTCTCTCACACTCTTTCTCTCTCTCTCTCTCTCTCACACTCTTTCTCTCTCTCTCTCTCTCTCTCACACACACACACACACCATTGTATGCTCTTTGACCTAGCAACTTTATACTGGCATGTGTGAAATGATGTAAAAGTAAAAGATTGGAACCACCTAAATATCCATCCAGAGGGGAGGAGGTAAAGTTTGATTCATCTGCTGTGACGGTATATTAAGTCAGCAGCAAGATGCACCAATATGTTTGGTGTACTGATAAAGAGGAAGTGTTAAGTTTGATAAGCAAAGTACAACCGGGCGTGGTGGTACAAGGCCTCTCAGCTACTGGAGGCATAGGTGGGAGGATCATAGTCCAAGGCCAGCCCAGGAAAAAACAGGAGACTTTATTTTTTTTAATTGACTAAAAGAAAAAAGCTGGGATTGTGACTCAAGTGCTAGAGCACCTGCCTAACAAGCATGAGGTCCTGAATTCCGGTACCACCCCCCCCCCCCAAAAAAAAAAAACAAAACATGCAAACCCTTGTGCATTGTTGTCATATGAACTAAGCATACATGTATGAGATATCTTTGGAGGATAAAAGAAATAATAGTCATTGCCTTTGGTCAGGCAGGGTAGAGAAGGACTGTACAATTCCAAATTGCAAACAAAAGCAGCCAAGTACAATGGCTCAAGCCTACAATTCTAGTTCACTGGGAGGCAGAGATTGGGGGTTGGGGATTTGATCTTATCTCAATCAGTGGCTGAGCAGCACCTGTCACCTGTAACCTAGAAGCACAAATAGAATTACTGTCTGGGATAGCCTGGGTATAAAATGGGGACCCCCCCCCCTTTAAAAATAATCAACAAAAAGGGCCAGAGGTGTAGCTTAAATGGTAGAGCACCTGCCTAGCCAGGGCAAAGTCTTGAGCTCAACCTCTCCTCTCCCCCATACTGACAAAAAAAAAACAACAAAAACCAAATCAGCTCCCGCTGAAGGCCAGCCCTGGCTGTTGGGGTGATGGCAGAGCTTTCCCTGGCACTTCCCCTCCGCTTCTCCTTGCAGATTGAAACCCACAAGCTGACTTTCCGTGAGAACGCCAAAGCCAAGACAGACCACGGGGCAGAGATTGTGTACAAGTCTCCTGTGGTGTCCGGGGACACGTCTCCACGGCACCTCAGCAATGTGTCTTCCACTGGCAGCATCAACATGGTAGACTCGCCGCAGCTCGCCACACTGGCCGATGAAGTGTCTGCCTCCCTGGCCAAGCAGGGTTTGTGATCAGGCCCCTGGGGCGGTCAGTAATCGTGGAGAGAAGAGAGAGTGAGAGAGTGTGGAAAAATAAATGAATGATCTGGCCCCTCGCCCTCTGCCCTCCCCGCTGCTCCGCACAGGGCTCGCCCGCCGGTGTCACCTAACCTGCTTTTGTCGCTCGGTATTGGGACTTCAAAATCAGAGATAGGAATAAGAGCAAATTTCATCTTTCCAAATAGATTGGTGGGCTAATAATAAAATATTTTTCCAAAAAACAAAACAAAAAAAAAGCGTGTAAAAACACGGCCATGCCCAACATTTCTTTGGGCCAAATTCTTTTTGATCCTTTTGTATTTTGTTTTTTTCTTTTCCCCCCTAAGTATTAAGAGGGCGAAGGAGAGGTTCTGAAAGCTGTTTCTGGGGAATTTCAAGGGACTGGGGCTCCTGCTGCCCCCCGCCCCCATCCAGGGAGTGTCACGAACAGCATCAGCCACAACAAATGATTTGAAACTTGGTGTGTTCATGGAGCCACAGGCAGAGGATGTGTGAGTGTGAGGGGTGAAGTGGGGGAGGCTGAAGGGGGGCGGTCAGGGAGGAGCAGATGAGAGGGGAGGGCAGGGATATGGAAAGGGGCCCTGGGCCCTGCTGAAAGTCGCAGAAAAGGCTGCAGGAAAGATGACTGGCCTCTGTCCCCACAGCATTGTCTACCTGCTGTTGGGGTCCAGGTGTGCTGTAGGCCGCGGCTGTCCCTCAGGAGGGTGGTCACTGGAGAAGGGCAGTGGGCAGGACATGGAAGGCGGCAGCCTGTGGATCACTTGTGTGGAGAAGACGGAACTCGACCTTGCAGATTATTGGCCTCTCCCTTTTTGCAGTGGGGGGCTCCTGAGCTGAGAGGCTTCCCTCCACCCCCACGGAAACCCCGTTTTATTGAGTTCTGAAGGTTGAAACTGCACGATTTTGACCGTGTCACAGACCTGGGACTTTAGGGCTAACCAGTTCTCTCTTTGTAAGGACTTGTGCCTCTTGAAGGGGATAGCTTTCTTTCCTAAGCCTGGGCCTCTGGCACCTCCAGAATGTCCAGGATGGGGGTGGGGGTGGGGGTGGGGCCGGTACTGGGAGGTGGGTCCCAAGCCTCCCATCCCTCCCATAGCCACGACAGCCCCCTCTGCCTGTCCCTCTGTGCGCATGTGTCTGCCGTGAGCCCATTCACTGCCATACCCCTCACTCTGTCTCACTGTCCTCTGAGTGCCCGGCTTCTTCCACCCGACTCATGGCCCTTGGTGAGACACGGGCAACACCCACTCTACACTAAGGGCCGAAATTTGAGGGAAGGCAACATTTCATCACAAAGGGTTGGAGCTCCATCCTGCTCTTAAGTTCCCCTATCCAATCTGTGTGCCTCTCACATTGAATCTCTCTCTCCTGACCGCCCATCATAGATGGGAGCCAGGGCTAGGCTTGGTGTTGTGGTAGCCTTTTCCTCTCAGGGCAGCTCCCTTCTTGTGCCGAGCCAGCAGCAGCAGATCAGGTGTCCTGGTGGCCAGCACCAGCAGGAGGACTCACGGATAAAGACTCCCCTGGGGGCAGAGCCCCCTCCATCCCCTGCTTCCACCCCAGCTTGCTTCTATTCAAATCCACATGCATAGAATCGACCTTCCACACCCAGCTATGGGACATGCCCTCAAATAGTTCTTCGCCCAATCCCAGCGGAAGCAGAAGCGGTGCTGCCTGTCCTGCTGGAGCAGCTGAACATCCACATAGATGTGGCCCTTTCCCCCTGTCCACGCCCTGTCGCATTGTAGTTGAATTTGTCTGTTTACATTTGGCTTCACCAGAGTGATTATGATAGTGAAAAGAAGAAAAAAAAAAGATGCATGTACCTTGAAATGTTTGTAAAGAGGTTTCTAGCCCACCCTGTTGCGGGGAGGCGGTTCTGGATCTTTCTCACCCCTACCAGAACCTGGCTAGGACTTGCTCAACAGCAGATTTTGACATCTGAGGACTCAGCTGTGAAGAAGGCCCGAGCACAGGCTTGCCTATGTCTCCAGCACGGAGGCCTCCAGCTGCCCCCAAGAACGCTCTGTTAGGGCAGTCTGTGGCTAGCCTGGTTCGCAACTTGAAGATGGTCCTCTACGGTCACAGCCTCAAGCCCACAGCAGCTCTAAAAGAGAATCTTATCACTGTATTGCAAGAAAAAGGACACCAATGCCGGCCAGAAGAGCTGCAGCCCCCTCCCCCCAAGCACATGAGCCTGTGGTTGTGGGGTAGCATGCTGGGCCTCCCCACTGGAGGGACTGGGAAGGACTGCCCAGCATGCACAGACTCCAGGTGTCTGGGCTGTGTGAGGACAGGGGACTAGTCAGGGGACCCATTTAGTTCCCAAAGCCTTCGCCCACCCCCACTGACCTACAAGCAGCTTTATTTGCTGCTACTCGGAAAGTGAAATCTTTGCAAAACCCAGCAGCCGCAGGCCCAGTTCTACCACTTCTGGTATGGGTACAGTTAAAGAGAGCCCTGGGCATGGGGGCAGAGCTCTCCTTGCAAGGAATTGTAGGGGCCCCAGAAACTTTCCATGGTGAGGTTCCCCACTGCCAAGTCTCACCTGTCCTCAGAAAGGAAGGAGTTCTGACGGGGAGAGGAGGAGGAAGTATGGCTTAAAAGATTTTGACTGATTTTTCTTGCACCTCATTTCCCCCCTTCTGTAATTCCAGTGCCGTGTGTGTATGGAGGGCTTTCTCATCTCCCTTGTGGGATGGGCTGTTGGGGTCAACCCAAAGGCCGTGGCTTCGGGTGGTCAGGTCCGTGCTGACTGACTGCAAAGGGATGCTTGGCTTGTGACTGTAATGGACAATCCCCCCTCTGGGGCTGGGCATGTCTCTCCCTCCATTTTCCCCACTCCAGAGCCATTGGCTCTGGGTGGCTAGATAAGGCATATTATGACTGGTTCCTTCAAACTGTCTATTCACTTTAATAGTTCCAGTTAAATTGACTTCAATGGTGAGACTGTATCCTGTTTGCGATTGCTTGTTGTGCTGTGGGGGGAAGTGGGGAAACATGTAAGATAGTTCATATGGGTGGGGTGGGGGGCAGTCTTGGAGTGCAGCAAGTTCAGCTGCCTTGTAACCCTTTTCAGGATTCTGACCATGTTGGTCGAGGGAGGTGATGTCATGGGGCTTTTGCTGCTCTACCCCTTGCAGAGGCAGCTAGCTGGTTCCTGCCACATCCCAGCCCAGTACAGCCACCCAGCTTGTAGAGAGACTTGATCCCTGGTTGCTCTGGCCTGCTGTCTGTGTCCTGAGCCCACATCTATACCTCCCTGAGGCCCTGGCACTCTTCCCTCTAAGCTACTGGCACCTTAGTATCCTACCTTTCCCACTGGCTGTCTCACAGTCTGCATTTCTAGTAGCTGTGAGGGTGTTTCACACCCCTCACCGTTGTTCTCCAAGTCAATCAAAAGGTGGGGATGTGGGTAGAGGTGGTTATCAGCTATTTGGTCCGTGGCTTCATGAGCCTTTTCACCTCTCCAGTTCTGGAAAGGGTTATCCTGGGCACTGATCAAGTGTCTTAACTCCTCTTGGACTTAACCTGTATATTTGCCGTGCTGGGCAGGACCACTTCCAGCACTTGCAAGTCCCAAGATGTCTTTGGTAATTTTGAGGGTGGGGGGAGGGACATGAAATCAGCTTAGCTTAGCTTCCTGTCTGTGAATGTCCATATAGTGTATTGTGTGTTTTAACAAATGATTTACACTGACTGTTGCTGTAAAAGTGAATTTGGAAATAAAGTTATTACTCTAATTAAATAAAGTCTCTTCTATACATGAATTCCAAGGACAAGAAGGATTCCCAATTTCTCTTCTACCTTTAGAGAAATCCAGAGCAGTAAATGATAATACTGTTTAAAAACTATATCTGAAGCGGGGCACTGGTGACTCACAACTGTAATCCTAGCTACTCAGAATGCTGAGATGTGACGATTGTGATTTGAAGCTAGCCTGGGCAGGGAAGTCTGTGAGACTCTTATCTCTAATAAACTACTCAAAAAAGCCAGAAGAGGTAGAGCACTAGCCTTGAGCACAAAGATGCTCAGGACAGTGCCCAGGCCCAGGTTTCAAGCACCAGAACTGGAAACAAAACAAACAACAAAAACCCTACATCTAGCCCGGTACCTGTGGCTTATGCCTGTAATCCTAGCTACTCAGGAGGCTGAGATCTGAGGATCAGGGTTCAAAGCCAGCCCAAGCAGGAAAGTTCATGAGACTCTTATCTCCAATTAGCCACCAGAAAAAGCTGGAAGTGGTGCTGTGGCTCAAGTGGTAGAGCACTTGCCTTGAGCTGCAGAGCTCAGGGACAGTGTTTAGGCCCAGAGTTCAAGCCCCACGACCAACAAAAATAAAACAAAAACCTACATCTGAGCCAGGCACTGGTAGCTCATAACTGTAATCCCAGATACTCAGGAGGCTAAGATCTGAAGAACACAGTTCAAAGCCAGCCCAGGCAGGAAAGTTCATGACTCTTTAATAATCTCTAAAAAAAACCCAGTAGTGGAGCTGTGTCTCAAGTAGTAGGGCAGTATTGAGTGAAAGCAGCTCAGGGACAGTGCCCAGGCAGAAACACACACCCACCATCACCACCACCACCACCACCACCAAGGAAAAACAAGAACAACTGGAGCTCCAGGACAGAGCCTGCTTCCCAGGGGTCCCTGGCTGGAGGCTGAGCCAGGGCCCAGGACTGGCCGGGACCCCACGCAGCCATTATCCCGCAGACACAGGGGCACTGGCGGCCAAGAGCTACCCGCATCCTCGCCCCCCGCGGCGATGACTTGTTGGCGGCTGTGGCCTCTCGAAGCCCCACGGAGGCCTGGCGGGGCTGCCGAGGACATGGCGCCCTTGGGCGGCAGCAGACACGGCGGAACCAGGCGAGGATGGCCAAGGCTTTCCAGGGCCCGAGGCCGCAGGAGGCCTGGGTAGTTCTCCAGCACGGCAGGCCGCAGAGGGCGGGGAGGGGGGTGCGGGAGAGGGGGTTGTCCTCCCTGTGGCTCAGGGGGAGACCTCACCCCGCGACAGACCTCCGACGGCCCTAATGGTTCTGGAAGGTGAGCGGAGCCCCGCACGGGCGCGGCTGGGCCGGTGCCCGCGGAGGAATGGTGGGTGGAGCGCCCCGCAGCGCCCCCAGTGCCCGCAGGCCGCCCTAGGCCTTGAGTATGGACCGGCCGTGGAAAAGCTGCTCTCCACTCCGCGCAACCTTGTAAAAGACGACTCTAGC